ATGTACGATGTTGCCAGTCTATGCATTATGAAGACTAAGACTCTCTCTAAGTATGATGTAGTCGACTGGCGACTGCAGAATGCAGATCGACTGACCTGATAGTGATACATGTAGACTCTACTACTACTGACTGCACTGTATACAGTCCACACTACATATGTACAGTCTGTATCGGCTATAGAGTGACCGGATATAAGAATATATCGGCTACAGTGATATTGGTACGAAATATCAAAAGCAAAACGTATTTTATCCAGTACAAATATCACTATAACCAATATTATCGGATGTAATGATATATCGGATAGTATGATGGCAACAAAGAATCAAAACATGCATAACACACTATAATTATTATCGGCTATAGTGATAACTTTCAAATACATGTTGCAATGATATCAAAGGCCCTATTTTTTTTACTTTCTTCACGTTGCTTATTTTGATAGTGATACATGTACATGTACATAACAGATTTTTGTGTGGAAATGCGGGCACTGTCAACTATGCAGCATGCTCATTTGTCAAAACGCCATGCTGGAAGTATTTCCTTGCCTTTCATGTGTCGATCGAAAAAATCGATCGTATCGCATATAGTGATGCATCGGTTATAGGGATAAAATCACGGAAATCAAAAGGGTACGCTATAGCCGATACAGACTGTACACTCAGACCAGGGAGTAGTAAAAATACAACTCCCTGCTACAGACAGCCGACTGAGCCGAGCAATGCGAGCATATTATTACCGTATATTCTCTATTATAAGCACCGTGCTTATATTTTTTCAACACCCCTCTACCCCGTGCTTATACTGGAGACCGCGCTTATATTGGAGACCGTGCTTATATTTTTTCAACCAATACATCCATACAGAGCAAGAAGAAATACATGCTAGATACCATGCATGCCGCATTGATTTCCAACAAGACCGTGCTAATAATAGAGACCGTGCTTATAATGTTTCGAAAGGTGCTCACAGTGTGCTAGTATTAGAGACTGTGCTAGTAATAGAGACCTGTGCTTATAATAGAGAATATACGGTATGCACATAAATTATTACATATTTAAAGGGAAACTGAACGCCAAAAATAAGTATGGCTTATCCGAAGGAGAATTGGGCACTGATTCCGATGAGCTATGTCTCGAGCCGATCAGAGAAGAGGAACTGTGTCAAATTTCATAAATAACACCTCCCATATTTGGAAATTGGCCTTGATGACGTGCGTACTGCTTAGCTGTCACCATGCTGTGCATGTTCAGCAGTGTAATTGAATGGAAGAAAACAATTACTTTGGTGTTTTGCAGCTCTGTTTCGTTCCCTGACGGTAACCAAATCTAGATGTAGGAATCTGTTGAGCAGGAGAGTGACACATGTCTTCCCGAAGGCTGTCCAGGCTGCAGTGGTGATGAAGAAGACACGATCATCACCCCGAGATCGATCGTAGCGAATTGGAAAACTCATGGTGAATTTGCTTCCACTCCAAGGCAATGTCGAGGTATGAAGGGTGCTTATACTGCCTTCCAAAGTGAAGAGGAGATGAACATGGCTTTGCATAGCTGTTGTTCTATGCCAACTTACCTACTCTTGCTGGTACCGTAGTGCTATATTGCAAATTTCGTGGACGAACAACTCTAGTCACTAGTGGCTAGTGAGCAACACTAACAGGTGAGATTTTTCAATTCGACAAAAATTGTTTTTGTTTGAGAACTGACAGTGGCAGTCATTAGACTCAGTAGGTGTCTCTCTGCTGCTTCTTTCCCTTCATCGGTAGGGTTGTGCTTGAAGTAAAAATAAATAGGAAATGTGGAACAAAAATCTGATCATGTAATTCGACTTTGAACTTCAAAGTATGTGTACATCAAATCACAAAAATGACTGTCAAGGTGGTGCTGTGCATTGAAAAAGACTGGGAGCTGGCAGCAATGGAAAGGGTAGAAACGAAACCAGTAATGCAGAGTATTCATAAGGTAGAGGGAGATGAAAACGGGAGAGGAGTAGTGAGCACTTCAGTTTGAAGTAGTGTCAATAGACAGCATCGTGTTGCATACGTTGTGAATATTGTGTGAATCTAATAATTGTCACGAAATTGATATCCAAAATTATTGTCCCCTGAGTAGTATTATGGTGTTCTCCTGCGTTTACATGCAGAGCCTTGACGTTGCTGGACGAGCGACAATATAAATTACATAAACATGTAGCTCGTGATGTGGGATGACTGCCGTATCGCATTGCCAACGCAAACCCTTCCTGTGTCAGTGCAGCCATCCAGCAACTTGAACTCCCCGGACCAGATGCCGCTGCAGCTGAACACCATGCCGATGGAAAGCCAGTAGTTGATAGCGAAGCATTCTGGTCTGCACAGTACAAGGCAAAGAACAATTATGAATTATAATGCATTGTAATCTTTCCCACACTTCTTTGTAAAAACAAACAAACAGTGCCATTATCACAACACTTGATCAAGCATCTTGATGGAGGTATTTTCCATTGTGCTGGCTCAGCATCTGCACCAGGAAGACCATGTACACTTACACGTATCTTGTGTGTGTGTGTTCGTGCGTGTGTGTTTGTGTATCTGTATGTGCACACGTGTGTGTGTGGGGGGGGGGGGGGGCACGCACATGTGTATGGGTAGGAGTGTGTGTGTGGGGGGGGGGGGGGGGGGTACACGCACATGTGTATGGATGTGCGCGCTGCATGCGTGTGTCTGTGGGATGGGGTAAGGGTGCACGCACATGTGTACATGTGTGTGCGCAATACAGCATGTGTGTATGTGTTCGTTGAACACAGGGTGTACTCCTGATTACATAAACTTCGTGATCATTGTGATTTCATGTGCTTTGAAGTTGAACTTCGCAATACATGTACTGATGCTTGATTAGATTTATGTTCCACATGTTCTATTTATTTTATTTTACTTCAAGCACTTGTACTATTCAAGCACAACCCTACCGATGAAGGGAAAGAAGCAGCAGAGAGACACCTACTGAGTCTAATGACTGCCACTGTCAGTTCTCAAACAAAAACAATTTTTGTCGAATTGAAAAATCTCACCTGTTAGTGTTGCTCATTAGCCACTAGTGACTAGAGTTGTTCGTCCACGAAATTTGCAATATAGCACTACGGTACCAGCAAGAGTAGGTAAGTTGGCATAGAACAACAGCTATGCAAAGCCATGTTCATCTCCTCTTCACTTTGGAAGGCAGTACAAGCACCCTTCATACCTCGACATTGCCTTGGAGTGGAAGCAAATTCACCATGAGTTTTCCAATTCGCTACGATCGATCTCGGGGTGATGATCGTGTCTTCTTCATCACCACTGCAGCCTGGACAGCCTTCGGGAAGACATGTGTCACTCTCCTGCTCAACAGATTCCTACACCTAGATTTGGTTACCGTCAGGGAACGAAACAGAGCTGCAAAACACCAAAGTAATTGTTTTCTTCCATTCAATTACACTGCTGAACATGCACAGCATGGTGACAGCTAAGCAGTACGCACGTCATCAAGGCCAATTTCCAAATATGGGAGGTGTTATTTATGAAATTTGACACAGTTCCTCTTCTCTGATCGGCTCGAGACATAGCTCATCGGAATCAGTGCCCAATTCTCCTTCGGATAAGCCATACTTATTTTTGGCGTTCAGTTTCCCTTTAAAGTAACATGATGAGTTAGTCATAACGCGGATTACAGACTTTGTATCATGGTAATCGGTCACATGCACACACGATGTGTGTGGATGTGTGTGTGTGTGTGTGTGTGTGTGTGTGTGTGTGTGTGTGTTTGCGTGGATACTTGCGATCTCATACTTACCTTCGTTTGAAGAATCATTTGTACTACCGTACATACATGTAAGACTGTGTACTACATGTTTTCAATTTCGCCGTGACAACATGTTACAAGGCGAGGACGCACAGTGCTCCTGACTACAACCATAACCCGGTTGGCAGAGTCCCGGTCTTGCGGCCATTTGAACCGTATGGAGAAAAAATGCTGTCGAAATCGAAACATGTTAAACTACATGTATCAAGCAAAGCTTCTATGTATAGTACCATGACTGTACTCGTATTTGAAGAAGGAGAAAATTTGCCCAGGTTGGGATTCGAACCAGGGAGTGGTATTGTACTACTACTGATAGTGGGGAGCAGCTTCGCTATCGCCCCGTGCCGCCATCCGCCATGACCAGGTTCGCTCGGATGTAGCAGCAAGTGGAGTCACAGTGTGGGGAGGGCGGTTCGAACGCACCTTCTTTAGATGTCCGGGTTTTCAACCCTTTTGCGTCTTTGAACTAGTCCTCCTTCATTTCTGCCACCTACGTTCGCCATGAGAAAGCGAAGAAGAGGTCGTACGAAGAGAGGCAGCGGGAGATCGAGCATCATGATGCCGCTTCAGTTTGTCCCGTTGCGTGTTGGTCTCAGTCTCGACTTGTGACAACCGGTGGCATGGGCATGGGCAATCTGCCTCACTTTACAAGCGTATTGCATCCATCATTGCTGAGAAACTTTGAAGCAGCGAACTGTATTCAGTTGTCATGGCATTCATCCGCTGCCGCCTTAGCTTCAAGTTGCTTTGCTCAGATCCGGCCCGGCAAGTGTCATGTGCCTGTGTGGTAGCCGCTCTGTTTTCGCTGTGCATGCACCAGTCTCTTCTTCTGCCTCCCTAGTTGCTGCCAAAGCTGGCACTTCCCGTCATTTGTAGTCTTTAGTGTGGACCTTTAATTTTATGCTGTTGGTTATTATTATGTTGGGTACTAGTATCACCTCCACCACTACATTGCGCTCTCAGCCGACTAGACCCTCCTGCACACAACCATCATGCAAGGACACTTCCATAGACGTAACGATATTGATAACTCCTTCAGACACTGGTTCGCTAATACACTGATGTACATACAATGTAGCTCATCAGTGAAGGTAGATGTTGAATGATTATAATAATAAGACCAAACTTATAGGCCATTGATTCTGTTCATTTTCATTGTGAAAATTCTGTTCATTTCACGCAGCTACTAGACTGTACGTAGTACGTAGATGTGTGTGTTGGACGTGTACGTAACCATGGTACCTCGCGCGCGCATGCAGCATGCAGTGGAAATAATTTTATCATTAATTTTGAACTATTAAACGTCATATCTGCAGAACTGGTCATTACTTGAACAGTACAGCTGAGAAGGGCTCGTCAAACAAACAAAAAACAAGCTTCTCTCATTTTTGTTTGAAGTAGTGTTTGGAGACGGAGAAGAGAATGCAATGAGTTCATAATGCCTGGATCCATTCCTTTCAAACTTACAAAGGTTTCTCCACTTTTTCGATATTCAAGGATACCACCGCCTAGGAACACATATTGGAGACCCAAGAACCCGAAATGGAAGGAGGATCGTCCCGTGCCACTAGAAACAGCCGTTGCTCAGAAATTAGAAAATAATGACATTCCTCAGGCCAGGACTGTCCCTCGTTATTACATCAATCGCAACCCCTGCAATTTAACCGTCAGCGGAGATCAACCTAAGCGGAAGGGATTTCAGCATGACAGTGTGTTGAAGATAGCACCTGATGTGGACTACTATTATCGGTGAGACTACTAGCTTGACTGACGTAACTTCACTTCAATTGTAAACGAAATGTAGACTACTAGTGTAGTGTAAGGCTAGAAAGAGTGTGCGCGCAGTCATACCATGACACCAGAACAACAATACTTCATCGACTTCAACGTCGTTTTCTTGTGACTTTCATCAGAAATCACCCTCACAATGGAATGGATATGGACTACAACAATATGTTTCCAATATAGGAAATAAAAGCTGAGTAAAAGACCGAGGCGAAGCCGAGGTCTTTTACGAGGTCTTTTTTTCCTATACTGACCAAGTACGAGTCAATATTAGATTTATCACGACTAACCAAAGCATGTGTTCAATCGCTAAAAAGGAGTCAAATATAAGCGGTAAATATTGCCCTAAGGAGTGAAATATGCAGGAATATTTGACTGCTTAGGTATAGCAAAAATCTATGGGAGTGATAAAATAATATAATACACTGAGGGAGACTCTTAGGGCTAAAGAGACAACAACAACTACAACAACAAAAAAACACTGGCAAAAATAGCACTAAAACAACAGCTGCGAATTCAGAGCGAGCGGTGTAAAGTGTGCCAATGTAGTGTGTTGATGATTTGTTTGCATATTTGATTACACTGGATGAAAGGTCTGCGTCCACTTCACCACCACCACCACCGTTGCGCTCTGCGGCCGACCACGTTCATTCCCCACAACAGCAACAAGAGATTCCTTCGGAGTACTGAAAATATTTTTTAATTCCTTCTGACAGCTGCTTCGGTCATTAAGACCTCATCAGAGCAGGTTGACTTGTTGAATGACTGGAAAAGAAATAATCTCCTATTTTATACTGACTCTTGAAACCAGAGAGGGCACGTCAATAAGCGCGCGCTTGATACTCGAAGTGTGAAAAACAAGGTGTTAAAATCTTAATATCAAATTTGTTTCAAGAGTCGGTATAAAATAGGTGGTTATTTCTTTTCCAGTCGTACAACAACTCCACCTTCTTTGATGAGGTCTTAATGACCGAAACAGCTGTCAGAAGGAATTACAAATTTTCAGTCCCCCGATGGAACCTCTTGTTGCTGTTGTGAGGAATGAACGTGGTCGGCTGCAGAGAGCAACGGTGGTGGTGGTGAAGTGGACGCAGAATTTTCAAGGGCCGAGTGCTGCTGCTTACTTTCTTGGATGAAAGATCAGCCTATCAACGAGAGAACTTGGAAGCTCAGGGCCCTACGCTATGCTTTTTTGCCTAGCTCATGCATGTTATTAGAACTGATGGAAATGTTTTTTTCAATTTGATTGGCTACATCATTGTATTGCAAAAAAGTTTCAATCAGTTTGAATACGAGTTAGGCAAAAGTAATTGCAGAATTTATTGGGTTATATAAAAGTAACGTATTGTATGATATATAACCTGGGATTCGAGCCCGCACTATCGCCCTGCATGCATTCCCCTGATACACTTCGCATACATACTCATTCTTCCAAGTTGCTTCACGTTATGATATGCTTGCATTTGAAAGCCCTATTTGAATATTGTGGCCGGCTGTCTTTGATGGTACGGGGCAGGTACGGGATAGCGCCAGGCATGCCGACGGCACAACACACACAAACACTGATACAAACACGGAATTAAAGCTGTGTGGACCCTGGCTAGCGCCAGACGTTACTGAACTAACGTCTTTTGCATAGCTACGGGAATAAATACAGTGAAACCTGTCTTAGGCGACCACTCAAGGGACGAGAAAAAGTGGTCACCTTGGCCAGGTGGTCTTCTTATCCAGGTTCAGTGGGTCACGTGAACATATCACATATATATGCGCACTCCTTATGTTATTTCTATAACTTAGAACCTTCCAAGTTGGAAGGCTGTTGGAGTGCGCCTCCAAGATGTGCTGGAGCTGTTAGCCAGTTAGTTGTAGAACGTCAGTACCGTCGGTCAGTGTCGTGCAATCAAGAGTCCATAAACAAGAGTGTGCAACGCCACATAGATGTCTGTCACGACTCGTTTTCAACATTACGTCATTTTCATGTAGCTGCGCGTGCAGGCCACGACATTCGCTACATGAAAATGACGTAATGTGGAAAACGAGTCGTGACAAGACCCTATCGCGCGTTGCACACTCTTGTTTGTGGACTCTTGGTGCAATGTTATTGCATGAGCTGATTGTTTAGTAACTGGTGGTGTTAGTGGACATTATAGTGTAACTTGTAGTTCCTTGGTCCATTTTTTTGTATAAATTAATCCTTGGCTCTCCATCCGAGTCCATTCCAAAACACCTATGAACTAAAAATCGAGCAAATTACACCATTGCTCAATTGCCCATGGTGGAGCACTAGACACGACGTTTTGGTTTGGGGCCATGCTTCTCCGTCAATGTACTAGTACTCCATACTACAGATGCATGCACACACACACATGCTATGGTGCATTCTGGGAGAGTTCCGTACAGACTTCCAACGTCTTCTCAAACCTGGATTTGACCATGGATCTAGTTTCAGGCATAAAAAACCCTGTTGTAGAAGCCTCCGTCCTCTTTTGTTAGACTTTCCTGTCTTTATTAATGTATCTCTCTCTCTCTCTCTCTCTCTCTCTCTCTCTCTCTCTCTCTCTCTCTCTCGCTGTTGCAGGTTGCACCTGATTGAGACAAATACAGGATTGACCGCATGGGTGCAACACACTTACGGCAAAATAGTTGTACGGGCCTCTACAACGGATGATTGCATTAACCACTTCCTCTACAGCAACACCTCAGTGAACGCTGCACGTCAACTGGGTCGCATCATGGCCCAGCGAATGAAGATGAGCGGCATCTGGAATATAACATGGACACGCAAGGGTGTCTTCAGAAGGGCCAATCAGAAAGCAGATGCCTTTGAAGCTGCCATTATGGGTGCTGGAATAGCACTCCACGAACGTCGCAACAAAGTGAAGGATACACACGAACCGTTCAGAGTAATTTACTACACCACCACTCAGCAGAATCCAAGATCGGGCCGGCCCGGCTTGAGGAGAAGAGAGTTGCCTGAGACTGAGCCTAAGGCTGTGGCTGATACTGCTGTGTGAGCAACTAATTTCATTTTGGAAAGCGAACTGGACTTCATATGAGAATAAGAATCATATAAAATACCCACGTAATACTTATAGTGATGTACGTGCTTGCAATATCATCATCATGATGCGCATACTTGCAATTCAACAATTATTAGGATTTCCCATGCCTACGAGACGGTGAAGGTTTGGCTGTGTTGCGTAACTGTATAACAAAGTGCTCAACAGAATAATTCTAGAATTATGAATGATGCGGAATGCAAAGAAACATCACGGGCAGCTACGAAAATAGTACATGGGGCAGGCTCAGTCAATCACGCTTTGTTTGGAAGAGTTGTATTTTATACAAGCAAGTCAGAGTACTAGTACATATGCATTCGGAAGAAATATTAACGGCTGGTATGCATTCGGGAGAAATATTAACTTCTGGTTCGTATGCATTCGAAATGCTGCAGTGCAAGCACTAGGCAGCAACCGTTTCTAAATTCTGAGTGTAAACTGCACAAACTAGATAAGAGAGCGATAACACAAGACAGTGCATGCTAGCCTTAGTGTTCAGCTCATTCCAGAACGGCTGACAGCGGCTTTGCTGAAGACAGTGAGTATGGCCGTGACTGCTACTAGACCATTATAGTATGCATCATTGCATGGTCACACCACCCGCTGGGTCAAGGGTTTGATCCACTTTGTGAGTACTTGAACTGCACTGAATACTAGTAGCTGTCCACCCTCATCTCACACATAATGGTCGTATGTGTAGTCGATGATAACATTCGGATGAGCTTGCAGCCAGGAGAAAAGCTCCAGCAACGTCAATTCCGTGGTTACGGCTGGCTGGACAAACACGGGCTGAGGATCACTGGAGGCATTTGTGCCATGTCGGAATGAAATGCTTGCCAAGCTTAATTACACGTTCTACGTCACTTGTTGTGCACCTCGCAGTGCCAAGTAACCCTGGACAATGTCCGGCGGTAATGCCCTCATCATTTGGAATTCATTCGCTGAAGCATAACGAAGCTTGGTGGATGGATCGGTATAATTAGTCTGTAACAACAGCACCAAAGAAGAAACACAAAACAAATGTGCTGCAAATTAAAAGTTAATACCGTAAGAGCTTTCCATGGGTAGATGGTATTGCAAGTGATACCGGTACATGTCAATGGTTGTCAAGATGAAGGCTTTTGTCACTTATGGAATTGATTCCTGCCCTTGGCAGCGGTGAGGCTGAATTTGAGTACTGCAAACAAATATGAGTACACTGAAGTCTGTAGAAGTCAGTGGAATTTGAGTACTGCAAACATATATTAGTACACTGAAGTCTGTAGAAGTCAGTTTGAATTCGGAATAGGTGTGTCCACCCAAGTATTTTCTTCTACAGCCGTGGTCAAAGAAATCCGACCCGCGACTCAAAATTAGCACCCGTGTTTCCATTTCAAATTACACCACGCATGATCCAAAAAGGCAAAAACCCATCCGAGAGCCGCAGGGGCTGCCACTTGAGCCTTGACACTGCTTTCGGCTCACGGCTCGGATTTCAGTGGCTACGACTGTACATGTACAAACAAGTGCATGTACAGTCGAGCCCGCGTAACACAGGCTGCTTGCATCAGAAAACTCACCCACTACGCCATGCCATAAAAGTCAAAGTCCACACAGAAATTTCAGTCTAAATCACTTCTGGCTCAGTATCCCAGTTCAATTCTGTACAAAATGTCCTCGCTATAACATAATCCTCTATAGCGTAATCCTCTATAACATAATCCTCTATAGCGTAATTTTCGCTATAACACACTGTTTCGCAGTGCTCACTTGGTCCCATGCGCACAAAGACCTCAGTATAACTCACAAAATTGTACAGCCGAGTGTCTTTCCAGCCCAAATCACTTTCTTTTCTTGAAATTACTGCCTGTGGCTGCATACCCTTGCTTGCACTCCACGATCCACGCACATACTGGCATTCATATGTTCTTCCAACACTACAGTCACGTGGACTTGGTACATACTCGAAGTAGTGGTTTCACCACATGCAGTAGACGCAGTACATACATGTACAGTCTGTATAGGCTATAGCGTACCCTTTTGATTTCCGTGATTTTATCACTATAACTAGGGGTCAAAGGGGTGTTCCGGGTACCCGGGTACCCGCCCGTTAATCTCAGGTACCGTTAGTAAAAGGGTACCCGTTTGGATTTCGGTGATCAGGTCAGTACGGAGCAACACTGGTGGGATTGTGCATTCCAGGCGGGAGTCAATTATTTACAACTCCAAGCTGCATGCCTGCATTGTTGTTGCATTTTCGCACCTAGTAGATCTACCTCTGCAACTATCAGACTCAAGTCAATTGGCGAATCACAATGTGATATCAAAATGTAACCTGAGAACAGATAAATTACTATCATGGTTTATATGAAAATTGCGCAAAAATTAAAACATGGCTGCTAAAGGGTACCCGTTAACCCGCCCGTTAAGAAAATTACCCGTTCGTTAGTTAAAGGTACACCCGTTTGACCCCTAACTATAACCGATGCATCACTATATGCGATATGATCGATTTTTTTTCTTCTTTTTTTCGATCGACACATGAAAGGCAAGGAACTACTTCCAGCATGGCGTTTTGACAAATGAGCATGTTGCATAGTTGACAGTGCCCGCATTTCCATAAAAAAATTCTGTTAGGCGAGACCAAAATAAAATCGACATTCCCGGGCAGGACCCATGTGAAATTGGTGCGGGCGGGCGAATTTTTATTTATTTATTTTTTTCCAATGTATGTATGCATGCCATGCTGAACTTTTTTTTACAGTATTTCCGGTAATTTTTATTCAATTTTTTTTACAGAAAACAGGTACGCGGTTTACCCGTTCGATTATTTTTCTGTATTTCGGCCAACAATTGCCCTGACCTGTACATCGGGGAGTCGTACAAGCCCGGGTTTGTGTGCCTCCACATCACGGATCTACTTACATGATCAGTACTGTACATGTATGAACTGCTAAAAAAAAAAAAAAAAAATTGGCTTTGGCTCGATTTTGGTGCGGGAGGGCCCGGGAATCTCTATTTTTTTTTGGTCTCGCCTTATGTACATAAATTCTGTTATGATACATGTACATGTATCACTATAAAAGTAAGCAACGTGAAGAAAGTAAAAAAAACAGGGCCTTTGATATTATTGCTACATGTATTTTAAAGTTATCACTATAGCCGATAAGAATATAGTGTGTTATGCATATTTTGATTCTTTGTTGCCATCATAATATCCGATATATCAGTACATCCGATAATATTGGTTATAAATTGATATTTGTACTGGATAAAATACGTTTTGCTTTTGATATTTCGTACCAATATCACTGTAGCCGATATATTCTTATATCCGGTCACTCTATAGCCGATACAGACTGTACACACACTTTCTGAGTTGATCAGAGTGGATCAATAGCGCTACAGTTGTAATCAGCAAGCAAAGAGCGTCATTTTCGCTAATAATGACTGCGGATATAACGACAATTCGCGAATAACGACAGAATTTCCATGCCCAGAGCAAAGTCCCATCCCACTGTAATACATATCATGAGACTTCAGATATAACGATACTTCGCGAATAAGGACACCTTTTTGATGCCCCGCCGAGTGTCGTTATAAGCAAAGTTGACTGTACATGTTGCAAGTTGGTGTGCCCAACTCACTATAGCATAAACCTTGCTATAACATAACAATTGCCATACCCCAGAGACTATGTTGTAGCAAGGTCTGACCTGTCCAAGGTTAACATGATTTCCACAAGCTGTGGTTTTAGGGAGATTTCTGGATACGGGAGGTCCAGATCGGAGAAGTTCGGACATACCATTGGGTCAGGAGGTATATGTAGCTCCTGACCCACAGCACAGCTGATGCACAAAAAGATTCATCGCAAGGTTGTTTGTCTGCAGACAAGGACAGCGGTCAACTCACGTCTAGACCCGAGATGTCAGCATACTTCTTCACAGGCTTCAGTGACGGCGGCGCATCAATACTGCTGTCTGAAAAGGTTCAGAACGCAAAAGGCACACATCATTACTTAGGCACTTCAAAAGCACTTTGCATAATTCATAGTTCAACATGCGTAGAAGCGGCGCACACCACATGGATCCGCTGCTCTGCTCTTGTTTTAGTAATTCATTTGCAGCCATGCTTGGCAAGTTCAATGATGCACAAGCGCAATATCACGAGTCTTTTGATTTGATTTGATGAATCTCGTATGGTTCTTCTGTCCATTCTAATTCTTGGCCGTTTCCTATTCCTTTTTGACAACATTTTTCTCCATAACTGTTTGTGCATGTAATAAAACTCTGAGTCCTGTAAAGGAGTTGTTCTAATGTGTTGGCACATGGAGTGAGTGATATTCGCAATTAAACAGTAAACACACAGAGGCATGCAGGCCAACGTACAAATAAAAGTACAGTGAGTGACTCTGACACAGCAGAACTACAGTGGGGACAAGTGCAGTACGGGCCTCGTGAATACAAGTAGAGCCGCTTTCACTGCACAGCGGAGTCGTCGTAGCGCTAAGGACGTGCATCTTCAGAGCTGCGACACACGAGAGGTTAGACGTCATCTTCCACCACTGTAGGTAGAGGACTGCACAATAGAGCATCGTATGCTCTCAAACTGAACGAGGATTTACAGCAGAAGGAATAAAAGTCTCTAAAACCCTTTTTTTCACACTTTTTCAAAGTAACTTTTAAACACGTAACGTAACTACTAGCACTTGACTGCAGCAGCACAGGTATGCTTACATGTGGGATCGTCAGCTCGCCATGGCAACGCTCTTTCTGCTGCCACGATCTGCTTCAAGCTCTTCCATACTGGCTTCTTGCTGCCGACTTTGCCAGAGCTCTTTTTCCGCACATCCGAATACAAGAAAAGCACAAGCAGAAATTACAATGTCCAGTCATGAATTATGTGATCCGTAATATCCAGAGTACAACACCCCAAGACTGTGCAACTCCAGCTATGGGGTCTGCAACGGCAGAACTTCCAATCATGTGACGGACTCGTACACATAATTTGTACCCTGTGCATGATAGAAACCCTGCTTTTAGGTTAATCCTCTCCTGTGGTCACTTTGCACTGTTTGCGAGCATGACCTCTTGAACCAAGTCCGGCGATGTGAAGTTCTGTCGTCGCAGCGCGGGATAGAAGTTATGCAGGCAGTTGCACAATCTTGGTGTTATGCACTCTTGGTGGTATACTAGCATGTAATACGTCGCCGCGATCGCAGTGCTGTGGCTTAGTGACTCCAAACATGTCCAGACCAGCAATGCAATCCATGAGCATGGATACATCGGAACTGCTCCAAGGGTGACTAGAACGGGCAGCGCAGGAGCGAAACTCAACATCGCTTAGCATTCTGCCCACCCATATCGTATCACGTGATGCTAATTTTATTTTATAGCAGGCTGGATGACACATTGGCCAGTAGTAACTGGCCTGGGCCATCCCGGTCGAGGACCCACTCCTGGTACAGAACAAGTTGATTCACACCTGCATGCGATATCAGGGGCCAACCCCTCACATCCTGTAATTCGCCAGGGGCAGAGTGGATCCAATTGGACACAGACGTTGTTTTTTGTTTGTTAATTCTGGACTTCTGACATCATCACTTTCAAGCCCTATACAAATGTTGAAGAGGTTCCACAGATCCAAAGCATGAAACAGACTTACCTTATGGAGAGGGTTCTTGAATGGATGGGCAATAAATGGCTGAGGAGCCTTGGCGGCTGGCAGGATTTTTCCTGATCTCCCTCTTCCTCTGTTAGCTCCGCCACGTCCCCTTGGTGTTGTTGCAGGGGAAAAATCCTCATTGTCTGCAGACTCCACTGGTGAACCACTGCTATGTCGACTGCTTGTGCGACAAGCCGGCTGCACATGTTTTGTCTGTAATACAAGAGAGAGAGAGAGAGAGAGAGAGAGAGAGAGAGAGAGAGAGAGAGAGAGAGAGAGAGAGAGAGAGAGAGAGAGAGAGAGAGAGAGAGAGAGAGAGATGGAGAGAGAGAGAGAGAGAGATGGAGAGAGAGAGAGAGAGAGAGAGAGAGAGAGAGAGAGAGAGAGAGTTGCAGTCTTGGACATACAGTCTTAATGGGTGAAATCCTAACCAAAATGTATATCCGGCGCTGATGAGTACTGATTCTGTGCATCTCTAGCGCTCCCTATTGCTGATAAGCCGGTAGTCATCATGCATGTGCTCTGCGTAAGCAACCACTGTGGTGTACAACAAAAATGGTCAAGGGGACAGACTTAAAGAAATCGCCGGACAGCTAGCTGTTTCGACCTTGTTAGGCCTCGTCAGCCGAGCTCAGAGTTACTCTGTCCCCGGGGAAAATTGCGGAAAAAAATCGCAAAAAACGCGGGGAAAAACGCGGCATAATATGGCATAATTTGCGGTGAATTTGCGGTAAATATGCGGTGAATAATATTGATGTGCGGCAATTTTCAGTGAGTATGTAGTGAAATCAATCAGTTACAAGTCTCTGGTGTAAGCACTCGTCATATTTGAGTAAAAAGCCGCCACGGTGAGACGTTGCTGACCGAACAGTGCACTGTGTGTACGTGTTGTGCAACAAAAAAGTTCAAAAACGCGGGAAAATCGCGGAAAACGCGATCTTTTAAAAAATCGCAAAAAACGCGGAAAAAAACGCGGCCGCGGAATCGCAATTTTCCCCGGGGACAGGTTACTGGCCGAACCGACCGCAATGAAGTCTAATGAACAACAACAAAGCATTTTTAAACCGGCTCAAGGCATCAACGTCAGAGTGCTCTAACACTACTTTCTTCTCTGTTGCCCCAATCGTTCCCCTTGATCTAGTGGCTTTGCTGTGTTTGCCAAAGAAGAGGCAGAAGAAACAGTAGCAGTACTAGTAGTACTTCGAAGTAGCAATGTGCAGCACGTCACTGCGCCAACCAATACACGAAATTGCAGAATGCATCGGAGGATAGTTCATAGCAAAGAATAGTGGGACCCCAGAAACGTGGACACCCAATACACTAGCCCAGATTGTCCTCAATTCGGAGATAGACGTGTGTGATTAGTACCTCCAAGGGAATCCCGATAGGCGTCTGCATTTACCAGGTTCCACTGTACTGATTCTATGAGAACCCAGTCGAGGCAATACTTACGTAAAAAAAACAAGCAAGAAAACAAAGTCTTTGATGCTTACCCTTTTAGCAGACGGGCTCTCTTCAGCATGAACGGCTGGGCGCTTGCCTCTCCGCTTTGCCCCGGCCATTTACTAGGTGGCGTATGAAAGGGGACACTACTAATCGAGCCTACACGGGCTACGGGCAGTGCTAGTGACTGATGAACATTGCTTTATGACAAAGCAGAAACACAACTTTCTATTTCTTCTCATCCATTCAATCAAGAGTGTTCGCGTGGATTTTCGAAAAAGGTCTACCGGTATCGTAGACGCGTCATCGTGTGCTCGAGCACTCGGCCTCCTTGGCGCTATTTCTTTTCCACGCCATAGCCGGTCCACTGAGCTCATGAGTCTGTCTGTCCAAACTCGAGGTAGAGCAGGGAGTCGTAAAATACCGGTATTTTACGACTCCCTGAGGTAGAGCTACCGGTACGCGGTACCGCGTGTAAGTTGTAGTACGAGCTCGTACTGTCCTACCAAGACAAGGCAAGAGGCAAGACTGTCTGTAGATCATGGTAGATAAACAGTAGAGGGGACGGTTTCAAATAGGACACCGGTTGCAAACCGGAACGGACTCAATATTCACTTTCTCTCTTGGTATTTTGATTAGAAAACATATGTCACAGTGAGACTACGATGTGTTATACTCCGAGCCAAAATTTCATGGCTCTGCGATGACCAGAATTAGCGCCATATCAAGCAGGTGAGTTTTTGACGTGTTGCTTCGCACTGCGACTTGAGTTTTACGACTTGAAAAATCAACTTCTTGTCGCAGGTAAACAGCGGCTCGCCTCTCGCCAATAAAGCACCGCATACCAATCAAAACTAATGGAAGCACACACAAGGCTTATTGTTACTCTGTACTGGCCGTCGTGGAGCGATAGCAATTACCTAATTTCAGACTCAGAGTGAATTTGACGGGCACTCTAAAACGTGTCCGGTTTGGAGCCACCTCTGATTTGAACTTTTTTGAAGCGAAAAATTGGGCAACTTGGAGGCAATGGGTCAACACAAAGGAGTGGCTCAGTTCGATTGACTCTGGCCCCAGAGCAAACTTCAACATGCCAGTTTCCTTCCACAAACATATTTCGAGTGAAAAATCAACGCTGATGATCGGTTTGGGTCTATACAAATTTGGCTGTCAAAACGTCCCGGTATCGAGCCGTCTCCTCTACATGTACTACCAAGAGTACATATAACCCCAGGTGGGTTATGTACTCTTGGTACTACTGAGTACTGTAGTCCACCCGTCATGTAGATCTACATTGTACATGACTGTACAATTATGATTAAACCTAACACTGGTTAAAAACCAGTATTAGATAAACCTTGTTATAGTTCACGCAATTTTAGATTGACAGCATGAAACAAGGTGGAGGACACTGTGTTCGGAAACAGGGACCTTACTACAACCATCCGCGGTTGGCAGAGCCCTTCTCGCGACAGTGTCATGGTGATGACAAAAACACTGTTGACAGTTGACGAGCTGAGAGAAGGACGTCATGGGCAGAAGTTGGAAGAAAAAAGAAAAAGAAAAAGAAGTATTTTATACAAGTTGAAGAAAAGAGCGAAGAAAACAAGACGACATCAGGAGTAGTCTCCTAACCCCCTAGCATAATGAGCGTCAGAACCGGGTGCGATACCCATATGGTTCAAATGGTCCGCAGGGACCGGGGCTCTGCCAACCGCGGAAGGTTGTAGTAAGGTCACTGTTTCCGAACACAGTGTCCTCCACCTTGTTTCATACTGTCAATCTAGCAATTGCATGTACAATTATGTGTAGTCACTGGAAGCACCACTGACGGGGCACTGACTGGTTCAGGACGAGGGCCGCTCCGACATCTTCCCCTAGCCTATCAACCTGATATGTGTTGGACTCCCCATGTCGTTCGACGTTCCTGCACTTCTCTGGGCTAGCCCTTTCCCAAAGATGCTCGCCACTTTTTCCGCAACTTTTTGTTGTTTGGGAAGAAATCGCAACTTTGGCAACTTTCTTCATTTTCGCGAACTATTTCGCAACTTTTCCGCAACCTTGGCCCCATGGTATATACATGTACATGATATATGGTACATGGTATGGGGTCAAAATGTCAAGTCACCGACTACATGTCAGACAAATGCATACTCGCTCATTTCTCGCCTGCCTTCAGACTCGTTTTAGAGAAACGGTAGATCAACGGTAGTTACGATAATGTGCATTCCCTTTTCCGTGCACTGGAATGATGTACAATGTAGGATACAGTCCGTATCGCGTATAAGGTTGGCGGCTATAGTAATATACCGGATATAGTGATCAATTTCTCTAATTCATTTTCATTTGCCATAACTAAGTATACACAGTTATCGCGTATAGTAATAATCGTCTATAGTAATATATCGCCTATAGTGATCAAATTCATATTTCAAAAGACGTTTATTACACTATTTTTGCATCGGTTATAGTGATTGATGTGAAATCAAGCGATGTCAGAGGAGAACAGGGTGTTACTTCTTCGTGAAGAACTTGTCCAGTGAGTGTTGTTTCGTGAGTTTTGCTTGTACAAGTTGCCAAAATATGCCTCCATCATGAGGAAATCCTGATTTTGTGTGTCAGGAGCTACAGCCAGCTACATGACATTGTACATTATTTTATGTACAGTCAACTTCGCCAATAACAACATTCGGCGGGGCATCAGAAAAGTGTCCTTATTCGCGAAGTGTCCTTATAACCGAAGTCCCATTTGAATGTATGTGAACCCATATTTTGAATAGTATGACATGCATATCAAAATCAAGCTCTTTTCTTGCTCTATGTCAATGTGTACTTTATTTTCATATTGCAGTTGAAAGGAACTAAAAATTCAATATGCAAGGGAAATTAATTGAAAAATATGCCTTTTTGAGCCATCTACAGGGCCAGAGACATGTACATGTGTGATGATTACTGTACAATCATGTACAACTACATGTACATTGTATACATAATACATGTAGGTGTGCTGGTAAATCCAACAATTTTGAAGCCAACATAAAAAAGGAAGAAAAAGCCCCCCCCCCCCTTGGCTGCATTTTCTTGCATGTGTGCCTTTTTAATAATAATATCCATCACCATAGGTTCTGGTACTTCTGCATGACAGGTACATGTACTTGACTGACAGGTACTTGAGATAGCTGTCAAAAGCCCAGAAAGTCGTTATTCAAGCAGTGAATATGACCTCGGGGCACTAAAAGTATGTCGCTATACGCGAATTGTCGTTATTCAGATAGTCGTTATATCCGAAGTTAAATGTATACAGTTAGATGGGACTTTGCTCTGGGCATGGAAATTCGGTCGCTATTCGCGAATTGTCGTTATATCCGCAGTCGTTATTAGCGAAGTTGACTGTAGTGCGTATGTACACGGCGCGCTGAGTCGTTTGACACCCCACTCGCATACATTGCATGCAGTATCGGTCATAGTAATATATCGCTTATAGTGATAAAATGCTCAAAATCAAACACCAACGCTATAGGCGATACTGACTGTAAATGCAACAGGCTATTGGGCCTGGCACTGTGGAAAGTGGTGGTTCACAGCAAGAAGGGGTGTACGAGTTTGCTGTCGCTGCACTTCTGCTATTTCTGCTCCTTTTTTGGTATTTTTTGCATAACAACTCTCCAAATTTAAGTTGCGATATTAGCAACTAATTACTTATGAGCTTTTTCTGAAAATATGGATGCGAGTTCAGCAACTAGCACTTGTTTTGACAAGGTTGCGAAAAGCATAAGTTGCGAAAAGTTATGGCATCTTTGGGAAAGGGCTAGCAGGGACTGAGCCGTACGGCCGTACGTGAAGAGGGGGAGAATGTATGATTTATAAAATTAATCCGGCAATTGTGGGGTAAATGGGAGAAGTGACTTGTCATTATGACGACTGATCGGCATACGCGTGAGGACACATGCCACATGGTCAGCATGGTAAGACCAGGAGAGGGCGGAATCTATGACAAAGCCAAGGTGTTTATGATGCGGCGCTACAGAAATAGGGTGACCGGGGTCGTCGGGAATGTGGAAGATGGGCACTGGATCTGTGGGATGGGGAAAAAGGAGGAGCTCGGTTTTGGTCACATTTGGCTTGAGGTACCAAGTGCTCATCCAGTGGACAATGATGTTGATGCAGGTCTGAACTTTGGGGTACAGGGTGGCGTGAGATGGAGAGGAAGCAAGGACAGTGGTATCGCCTGCAAACAAAGTGGTGATTATTATAATTATATTAACAAAGAAATATTGGGAATTACATAGGGGAGGTCATTAACGTATGTGAGGAAGAGCAGGGGACCCAAAATGGAGCCCTGGGGCACTCCGGACGTCACAGATTCGGGGTCAGATAAAGTTCCATTCACTGTGACGCGCTGATTTCGGTCGGAGAGATAACTAGTTATCCAGATGAGTAGGGAGCCGGAGACACCGTTATACATGTACATGTACATGTAAATAGTTACACTCGTTGCTGTCTGATGATCGGTTAAAACCGTGAAACTCAGAGTTACAGAAGAAACGCTTTTCGTCCCTCTCAAGTGCGTGTAAGTAGTTACATGTATAACTGGTTCTCCGACACCTAGGCGCAGAACTCGCAATTCGGCATGGCTCCCGTTCTTCCTCATTGCCACTAAGCTGACCTCATGCCCCAGAGACTTTAACAAGCTTTCAGCATTTCGTCTCGATCTACCTGTAGGCTGTACCTTTGATATCTCCATCCGCCCACCTGCGCAGCTATAAAGTACAAAATTAATAATACGGTAATTGATTATGTAGCCTGGTGGCAGTACACATGGTAGACTTACAGACTACAATACAGTGGTGTCACTGGTAATGGTAGGGTGGTAGATCATTGTAGATCTACAGTACAGTCAGTAGCTACATTGTAGTTCTATAACTAACTTATAAGATGAGTCAGTCAGTACTATTACACTGCTAGTACTCACTACTCAGTGATCAACAGCCTCTTCTTACGGGCAAGCAAAACACAATTTGCAATATTACTATTTTTAACATTTGGCATTTTTAACACTTTTTTAATGTGTAAGATTTGCTTTTGTTCTGGTTGTTTCTCTGCTCTGGATGGCTGTATCGAAACATAGGTGGTGGCAAATGAGAGCCAGTTTATCGTAGATATCAACACTGTCCAGAAAGTTTGGTGCATTTTAATTCCTTTTCCGTGCCATGTCGGTATAAATGCTGGTGGGTGTGTTACAAGTTTGTGTAAAATCAGCCCCTGAATGGACGAGAAGGGCAGGGAATTGCTTCCGTAGGGCCATTGGACGAGGTCAGGGCGTCTTGCCATCACTAAGGACAATATGAAGAGTAGTAGATCACTGAATACACTCTGTGAGAACGAAAAAACCCGCGATGGTGCTATGCTACCTATCCAATTCCACAGTCTGACACAGACACTAGTTACAAATTCAAATTCACAGCTTTCGTAGCACATGATGCAGTTGACAAGTCAATTTTCATCTACTGGCACTCATTGAAGTGATATAATACGGTCATATCAACTTCAGAGCATTGGTGACTGAATATCCCGGCTCGTGATGCCATTCGGATTTGTTGAAAAATGACAAACCAATTATTTGAATACTGAGAATACTATGAAAGTAGGACATGATTCAAGGCACTTTCCAAAGTGGTATCATTCCCATTTTTGGACACGACTGGCATGACAGATAGTACTTCCAGTCTTCCACTTGCCATGCATGTAATTAATTTGGCAGTAGCGCTAGCGCTATAGAGTATAGTATAGCCTTCCTAGGAGTTGCTGATAAAACCACATTTTACAACCATTTTGAAAACACCGCCATTCCGGCAACAGGCTCTCAGCTCAGCTGCACCAAATAAATAACTTTGGCAAAGTTATTTGGTGCAGCTGAGAGCCTGTTGCCGGAATGGCGGTGTTTTCAAGTGCAAGAAATACGCTGCAATGGAGTTTGGGAATTCTGAAGAAACATTTTACAACCATGTCTAATAAAAAGCAGGGAGTCGTTAAATACCATATTAATTTTTTACGACTCCCCCTGGCCCTGATAAACAGCCAAATCACCTCCAGCTCCTACCGTAGCCGCGGTCTACTCGGAACTACTTGGAAGATGGTGCTCGTCTTGATGTGGCGGCATCCGGTGTCTGGGGAAGTCGTTTTGAGCGCACGTTCTGTGATGTTCGGGATTTTAACCCTCATGCGCGCTCGAACACTCCCTCAACTCCCGCGTCCACCTATGCCAAGCACGAACAGCAGAAGAGAAGGGCCTACGAAGAACGCGTCAGGGAGGTGGAGCATGCTTCCTTTCTCCCACTGGTATTCAGTGCATCTGGTGGGTGCGGCAAGGTAGCCCACGCTTTCCTGAAGCGTCTTGGCCATATTATGGTTTCGGAGAAGCGGCATGAACCCTACTCCTCCGTCATGTCCTGGATCCGCTCCCTTGTCTCCTTTGCTTTGGTTCGATCCTGCAACATGAGCCTCCGTGGTCACCAGGTCACCGTGCTTCTCCCGACCGCAGTCGTTTGGATGCTGCCAGTCCTGTTGTGCTGGCACTGTGGCAGTCAACGACTGTCAGTTGCGTGACGAGTCTGACGAGACTCTTGCGGAGTAGCCGTACTAGCCACACTTTTATTATCCGATGATCTTGTTTTGTTTGCTATGATTCCGTGATTTTCTGTTGATTGCTTTTCTGCTGTGCGAATAAACATGATAAATGCAGTGTCCACACTCACTACTACTCACTAGTACAGTGGCAGTAGTGAGTGTCAGTACAGCAGTAGCTACTACTAGTAGATCTACTACAGCTCAGGTCTAGTCAGGAGTCAGGTACGGTACCGTGTCTGACACCATCATCATGATTCATGTAGAGTCTACCACGGCGCAAGTCCACACACACTTCAGACTGAAACTTTGAAAGTATTAGTTCAGTGTCGTGAATCGTGATACACGTGATGATGGGTGATGTAATCAGTCTAGCCAGCCAAACATCCCATGAATGGCCTTGATCATGTCCTAATCATTGACATGGTTTACAGGGTACTAGTAGACCCAGGTGCTCGAAGTCCGTACACGTTTACAGTGTGTGTTTGCCGAGCTGAAACTCACACTAGCAATGATCACTTGCCAGAATCCTGCTCGTGGATGGAAGGTATCTTGTCCAAGTTTGTTTTGAGGCCAGGCTCGATTGAACCAGGCCATCTTTCGATCCGATCTGTTTCTCTGGAGTTCGCTCATTTTTCATATCAAATTTTGGTGTCGCAGAGGGTACTCTAAGTCCGTACTGATCAGAGGTGACTCGAAATACACACATATTTCTGCTAATTGCTAACTTGCAATCCCTCGGTTACGACGAAAGCACCGAAGGGATATGTTTGGCATGTGCCTCCACCGGTATTTCTTGCAAAAGCGTAGCTTGTTGCCGAAATGCAAGCTGTTTTTAGTCGGCTCAGAGAAGAAGCAGCTGCGCTGTGAAAACCGCGGGAAAACAGTGGTGGAGATGCCAGGAGTGTCAACCTTTCTGCAAGGATTGGTGGTTCTCTGTAAATTCTTCTCCTCTGGCCATTGTCAGCTCTAAGCTGGCTCTTGATGATTGAGTGAAGGTCTGTTTGACGCTGTGTCCGTTCGAAATCGGTCTTGGCAAAGTTGATTTTTGCATGAAATGTAACCCAATTTGTATTTCGTATGGACACTCGAAAACCCACTCCCGTGGTATGGGACTTCTGCTGATCGTAGATCCCTGAAAATTGGTACGCGAGGAGAACATACCACACTGTCCCCTCCATAAAATATTTGAGTCGAATACAATAACAGAACATGAAATTATGGGCGTACGAACTTAGGATACCATGTACGGACTTCGAGCACCTGGGTCTACTATGGTTTACGTCGCGTTGTTTGTGCAGTCCCTTCTCGACTAAAAACAAAACAAAAAAGTCTCCGCTGCACTGTCCCATTAATTTTTACAGAAATACCAGTACATGTACTTTTGTTTGATTTGCCCTGCGCTCGCGAAACGACGCTCTCGCTCGCCGAGAGATGGAATAGCGGGGAGTCTCGTAAGTAGCTGTGTATATAATAATCACCAGATCTGTTCTCAGAGCAGTTAGATACTACATGACAGTAGTCGCTGGTGGCAAGATCAAACTATTAGAGAGGAAAATAGAAGATAGAGAAGGAAAGTCGAAAGCTGCTTCCACCACGTTGCCGATCATGCTATCTATGCAGCGTATTTCTGCGCGCTGCGTCCGTCCTACACGGGTGTCGTCGATTGCGGCCGGCACGGCTACGCCACGGCGTCACTGCGCCGCCACGAGCACCGGCGGAAGCGGACACCTCGAGTCTCCACATGCAGCCGGACCGGACGGAATTGACATAGAACGGGACAAGTTCGGGCATCCCCGCTTGCCACATCGCGGACACTTCGAGGAGGACAAGAGCAACGCACGACGGGAATGGTGCAGCAAGTTTACCGGCACAACGCTCGACTACATTGGTGACTGGTGGCCGGTGGATGGTAAGCGCGACGACAATGCGTCAACGCAGCTACCCACGACCCTTCTGAAAGGTAACATTGAGAATCCTATTGGTATGCTGACCATACCGCTCAGCTCCACAGGCCCACTGCTCGTTAGCGGTGAGCATATCAACGGCTCTGTGCTGGTGCCCTACGCCACCACCGAGCCAGGAGTGTCTGCATCGGCAACGCGTGGCTCCCGGCTGATCAGCCAGAGTGGCGGTGCGGTGTGCCGGGTGACAAACTACTGCCAGCGCCGTGCGCCCGTCTTCAGCACAAACAGCATGGTGGAGGCACAGCGCTTGGCCAAGTGGCTGGAGCAGCAGGTACCGCGTATCAGGGAAGCGCTGCGCGAAGTCAGCGAACACGGCCGGCTGCTGAAGTTGCAGTCGTACACGCTCGGCCGCGATCTGCACGTGAACTTCTTCTATTCGACCGGCGATGCGGCTGGGCAGAACATGGTGACATCACTGACAAGCTCGGCTATGACGTGAGTCAATATCCCCTGCACATGGTCTGCTGTATACAACCTAGCAGCCTCCTTTGCACCATGGCTGGTAGCTCGGCCTATTTAGCTTGTAGCTGTACTGATGAGGCCTTTATGGCTGAAACAGCTTGCTGTCTACAGCATTGGGTAATTATCCGAACATGAACCCACAACACAATATGTGTGTCAAAATGTTGTCATGGTCACACAGAGTTGCGCTATGGGACCTTAGACACAGATTTCACGGATACTGAACTGACCGGTACAGCCTGCTCATGCAAACTGAACTGACCAGTACAGTGTACAGTGAACTTCGAATTACACTTTGCTAACTTCGAATTATCAGCACAAATCACACACATTTTCAATGTAAGTGAAATCCGTGGAACTTCCGGACATGTCCGGTTCGAGGTTCGAATTTTCAGAAATTTATATGTGGGCATCGTATTGACAGAACTCAGTCCTGAAAAAACTTCTAATTAAGCGGTATGTTCGTTAAGCCATATTCGAATTATCAGGATTCCACCTGTATATACATTTGGGCTGATTGCTGGTACTCAAGAGGCCATCTACTTCTACAAGATTACAGCGCCTAATTCTACCACGTTACAACACCTATACCTACACATATCAGGGATGTTATGAGTCAGTTTCTTGATATCCAACATGCTTTGTTTCTTGTGTTGACAGCTGGATTATAACTACTGCTCGGAAAGAGCTTAAGGATAAGGTTACTATCAAGCAGCAGATGATCGAGACGGGAATGAGTGGTGACAAGCGCAATAGCTACATGAATCAGATCATCGGTCGTGGTATTGCGGTCCACGCCGAGGTGTTTGTGCCGGAGTCCGTTGTGCAATCCGTGTTCAAGGTACAGCTAGGACTCGCTTAACCAAAACCCTTTTTTCTATTGCGCCAGGATGACAACGTGATCTGGATAAGCAAGGGGCACAGATAACGGGAGGGGATGGTATGCTTTTAACTCCATGATGTTTACTGTGTAACTGATTCAATCTGCACCTACTGTTTGATCTAGAGGGGAACTGGATGAATCTAAGGGGGACTAGATGAATCTAAGGGGGACTAGATGAATCTAAGGGGAACTGGATGAATCTAAGGGGAACTAGATGAATCTAAGGGGAACTGGATGAATCTAAGGGGAACTGGATGAATCTAAGGGGAACTGGATGAATCTAAGGGGAACTAGATGAATCTAAGGGGAACTAGATGAATCTAAGGGGAACTAGATTAATCTAAGGGGAACTGGATGAATCTAAGGGGAACTGGATGAATCTAAGGGGAACTGGATGAATCTAAGGGGAACTGGATGAATCCGAGGCTAAGGGGGACTGGATTAATCTAAGGGGGACTGGATGAATCTAAGGGGGACTGGATGAATCTAAGGGGGACTAGATGAATCTAAGGTAAGGGACTAGATGAATCTAAGGTAAGGGACTAGATGAATCTAAGGTAAGGGACTAGATGAATCTAAGGTAAGGGACTAGATGAATCTAAGGTAAGGGACTAGATGAATCTAAGGTAAGGGACTAGATGAATCTAAGTTAGTAAGGTAAGGGACTAGATGAATCTAAGGTAAGGGACTAGATGAATCTAAGGTAAGGGACTAGATGAATCTAAGGTAAGGGACTAGATGAATCTAAGGTAAGGGACTAGATGAATCTAAGGTAAGGGACTAGATGAATCTAAGGTAAGGGACTAGATGAATCTAAGGTAAGGGACTAGATGAATCTAAGGTAAGGGACTAGATGAATCTAAGGTAAGGGACTAGATGAATCTAAGGTAAGGGACTAGATGAATCTAAGTTAGTAAGGGACTAGATGAATCTAAGGTAAGGGACTAGATGAATCTAAGTTAGTAAGGGACTAGATGAATCTAAGGTAAGGGACTAGATGAATCTAAGTTAGTAAGGGACTAGATGAATCTAAGGTAAGGGACTAGATGAATCTAAGGTAAGGGACTAGATGAATCTAAGGTAAGGGACTAGATGAATCTAAGGTAAGGGACTAGATGAATCTAAGGTAAGGGACTAGATGAATCTAAGGTAAGGGACTAGATGAATCTAAGGTAAGGGACTAGATAAGAGCATAGTTACAGTGTATAGTCAGTTACTTGAAAGGTTTTCTTGGAGACAAAGATGCAGTCATCACACTCATTCACCTGATGAGAAGGCATGGATGTCTACTTGTGGTGTACCAGGTATCTTGCTTTCGAACATTTAGCTTGTGAAGAGCATGAGTCGTTTCTTCTTTCGTTTGTGTGTGTGTGTGTGTGTGTGTGTGTGTGTGTATGTATGTATGTGTGTATGCATGTGTGTGCGTGTGTGTGTGTGTGTATGTGTGTGTGTGTATGTGTGTGCATGCACCGGCACTTATCTACATTGTTATTCCTGCGGATCTTGGTGGGAAAACACGCCGTTTACTCATGTTCATTGCGTAGACATCCCTTTTCTGTATGCTGTAACGCTTTCTATCTGTGACGGGTTTGTTGATCTCACTATTTTGACAGCTGAGCTCGGGGAGGATGCAACGCTGCTATGAAGTGTGTTCCCAGGGAATCTTACTATCCGGTGCGCCAGCTGTCAATATCGCCACCTCCGACTCCCTGGCTGCTATCTATGCTGCCACTGGGCAAGACGTGGCCTGCATCCCTGAGCACTCGTGTGGCAACTCGCTTTCTCTGCGGTTGGCTAGTGCCGAGGAGATTCAACTTGCTCGCAAACGGATCAAGCTCGACGACGAACAATCCGGTGATCAGAAAGGTAAAGTGATGGATGCCAGCTGCAGCGCATGGTTCAGTTTCACAATAGTCAGTAGCTTGGGGCTAAAGTGTTACATGTACATGTACCAGCAGCCAGCATTGGTCTATCAACACTAGTGCCATGCACCTACTGATATACATGTACATGTAGATAAGAGAGACTAGTGACAGAATTGACCAATACTGGGTTGGGGGGGGGGGGGGGGGTTACACATGTAGCAATGAAGTAAGAATGGTACGGGCCATCAAAGTTTATCATCACGACTTGGTGTTGTTTATGCCTCGGAAAGTTGGTGGTTACTTGAGCACCATGAAAATGGCAACCGTCAGTCTTCAGGAAAGCTTAGACTATACAGGCTAACCTCGGACTGCTTGGAAACATCATCTGCTATCAAACATCAGTAATGAACAGATGAGCGGGTACGAGATGTACCGATTAGAAGGTAACCAATTGTTTCTCATGCTGTCTCTAGGGTATGTATGTATGTACAAAGTACCAGTAAGAGTGTATTCATGTCTTGTGTTCTTGTACTGCTATTATCCTACTCAGGCCGACCAGGTCAGCAACACACTGTGGAGGATGGTGAAGGTGGCTTGTATGCCAGTATGTCCATACCCAACCTTTCCATTGGCACCGTGGGAGGTGGAACTATGCTGCCCACGCAGAAGGAATGCTTGTCGATGATAGGTTGCTCCGGATCGGTACGCATATGATTGTAGCATTGGCACTGTTCATTGACCTGCTGACATGTCTGTGACAACAACAACTACAACTCTTATTGGCGATGGTGCCATGGACTCTTGATGGTATCGCCAATCATGCCGAAAGCTTCTCTTCTTTAGATTGTTTTCAATCTTGTCTATTTTGCTTTCTCTACACAGGGTGGTGTACTGCGGTTTGCCGAAATCATCGCCGCGTCCACACTGGCACTTGACCTCTCAGCCCTGGCCTCACTGGCCAGCGGCCGGCGCATGTACTCGCTGGAGGGCGAAGCACCGGAGATGGCTGCTCTGAGAAAGGCTGCCGACTGACGTTGCTCATCTCGTCTAAATCATGGCGGATCAGCGTTTTTCAAACAGGTGCCCGAGTGACAGAGTATATTACTCCGTGCTATGGTGAAACTGATCTATTTTAATCAAAACGGTCTCATGTTCTCTGTTGTCAAGTGTACTGCATTGCTTGTTGCTTTTCTGTATGGACATACCTTAGATTTTAGCCGATAAACAAGGACGTATGGTCTCAAATAATTTGCTTGGTGGGTATGACTGGGCATCCACCGATTTCCGCTCGTTGCCAAATGCGCTCGTTGCCAATATGTAAAAAGGCGATAATTTATTGATAGTTGTCTACTGCCTCCAATCCAGTGCTATCCCCAGCATCAAAATCTGACTGAGCATTGCTAATGCACACAGTACAGTCATGTACATGTAGGACTCACACTATTTTTTAATATACTCCGGCATAGTTGGTGCGCCCACACTGCATATTATTATAATACTTACACATTCTCTGTGCTAACACTGCTCAGATAAACTAGCAAGTTACAGTTATCAAGTATTACTGATAATTATGAGTTAAGGTAATGGTCTACCTGTCCCCTAGCGCATGACCACTGTTCTATGCTTCTCTTGTTGTACTGAATCAGTTTAATATTCAGATACACTGTACAATCATGTACTTTGTAGTCGCTGCTGTAGGATGCTACTCATGCACATCATCTGCCGTGCACCACCATCCTGAGTCTCATTTCACAGTCCATACCTATACTACAGTCAGCTCTCTGCAAGTGCTGTTTGGAGACTTCCAAAGAACTCTAACTCCTCTGGATCCCGTGTTGCCCTTCCATTGTAGCGTTACAATGACTTTTGGATTTCTACAGACAGCGGCCTTGTCCGATCGGTTTTTTCTGCTTTCATATAGGTTTGTCGACATATCCTGTGGAATAAGCCCTGCCTATGAAAACAAATATCAGAACCCCAATAAAAGACTTGAACATTGTTTGTGAGATAATCACGAGCATGTACATGAACGGCAAAGTAGCTCAACAAAATTCTGTGACCAAGTTTCAAGGAATGTGGGAAAAGCGCATCAAGAAAAATAATATCAACTCAAGAAAGTGACACGTGCGCAAGTAGACATCAAGCATGTGCGCGAATGCAGAAACACACACACGAACACACACACAAACACAAAAAACACACACATACACACACACACACATACACACACACGACACACACACACACAAGTCATTGTCACCAGGCATAGCGTACTGAAGAGATTGTGTCCTGGTATGCACACGGCTAGTGGATGAATCGTGCTGGATTTGAGTTGGTACATGCACAGACACACGCATGCCAGGATCATTGCCAGGCAGCAGCGGCAGTTGGCTATGTCTGAGTCCATTCGATGCCCTCTTCTGCTGGCGTGTTCGGAGTCAATGCTTGTCGCATAAGACTGAGCTGTGACGTACGTCGCTGCAGAGGGTTCCGCTCCCCTTCGCCTGCGGGCTTCGCAACCGTGTCCTCAAACACTGGATTCAGAACGATGTTGGAGTGGCCCTATTTCAGAAAAAGAATGGGATAAACAAGCCCGGAGAACTTAGCAGAGCATTACGCATGTAGACACCCACGGCACCCTCCTGGCTTCAAGTAGGCGAACTCCTACGCGCCCCTGCCACACTTTGGCATTGCGCATCACCGATTTGACAAAAGCTTTAGGCTATGTAAGTCGGCAAAGACGCTCCACGGACTTAACTACCACTGCTGCTGTGGTAGTGATCACTCTCTCTCTCCTATGCAGTCTGTCTGACTGCCTCAGGGAAATTGTGGTTCTTTGTTCAAAACATGCACTGATAACCTGCACACGCCATGTACAGACTGTCAGTACTGCTCAATAAAATCCGATCGAGTCACTCAAATACGCTCTGGGCGTTGCACAGCCCTAGACCTGCGAACACTGGGCTGTGAAAGAGGTGCAGGGTGCGGACTGGACTCACCCGATCGGATTGTAGTTGAGCGCAGCACTGTACTTTGAAGTAGCTGTGCATCACGGTTCTTATCTATTGTGGATGTGCCACAAACAGGCCAAGCAGTCGAAGATGTGTATAGTAGAGTAAGCAATAGAAATCTCAGATTTTCCTCATGCTTACCACTCCGTCTTTCCTAAAAGACCTAGCCATCATGTAGGGCAGTAGAAGCTGTGTGCTCTGGCGTGTGTGACTGTGTGTACAGTCATGCTACCAAAGTGATCGAAGTAAGCACGCACATAGCATCCAAAGACTGATGAAACATAGGATTCAACCTCTCAGCCTTCATCAGTCTTCAGCAGGCTGCAGTCTTGACTTTCAAATCCAGCTTCCCTCGACATTTCCCATTGTTTGCTAAACATTATAGCTGAGCTGCTAACCTACGGTAAGAAAATTAGAAACTCCTCATGTAAACATTTCACAACTGTTAATAGTGTCCTCGACGTATTAGTGTCAACGTGACACGGGGACACTATCACTTACAGTGGACAAGGCGTCTTCAGGGAACTCCTCACCCCAGTCCTTCACGAAAAGTCTTGCATTCATGCTGACGTGTGAACCCTGCCATGATAGAGAAGTGCAAACAAGTACGGTGGCATCATGCTTCTCTACGCGGCACTTAACAATGATTATGTGCCTTTGCCATGCACATGTGCCACTGGCAGTCCATCGCAAGCACCCTCAGAGTGCATGTGGTTTTCCCGGAGGGAGTTTGGCAGTATTGTGTAGCAACAAGCAAGCATGCATTTATGTACTTCGAAGTATTTATTTTACAGATACCCACAGTTACGCAGCACATACATACTTTGACTCCTGCAGTTCACCAACGCAGGTGCTGGACGCACCACCGGGAGCTCCTGGGAGCCAAATTCAACCCGCATACCTGTTTCGTTATCCTGGCATGGCTGGTAACGGGGATTCTCGACACCCCATTGACAGCAATGTGCGGCAGTTTGAGCTGGTCGCTGGCTGCCACCCATACGGTGAGGTCCTCCGGAGATAGCTCACGGCCCTAAGAAGCAAAAGCACAATACGTGAATCACGTAAGCATCGGCTCGGCGGCAAACAGGTAGTTTTCTCGTCACATGGAGCAACTGCATGGCTTACATGAACATGGGATTTAATTAATTTAACCGAGGTATCGATTCTGTTGTTGATTTGTGTAAAATAATGGAACCTTACTGGAAAGCCTCACTACCTCAGGGATCCCACAAGAACATAATAGTGATCGAGGGCGGGAGGGAAGATGGGGTGAACAAGAATCAAGAAAGACTACAATGATTATGTACTTCACGTGCATCGTTAAGTGCCTCTCATGGCATGCAATCCATGGATGGTCAAGAAAATTGCCTAGATGGTAGCTTCCTTGACTATGGCCAATGGAAGCCATCTATAAAGTCTGTGTTCCAATTTCCAAGGCATAACTGAATAATTATACTCTGCCAGCTTCTCGGGGTCACTTTGAAGGCATCAGAGCAACAGCAAACTGAACAAATAGCAAATGACTGAAAACTCAACTTACGTCAGGCAGGGGATCGTATCCAAGAAGCTCATGGAGCGCCGAGGACTTTCGACTTGCCTCCAGCTCCTTGTTTCGTATGTGCTTGCTTTTCCGCTTTGCCATGCGCTTCTGCAGGGAAGACAAAGAGTCACAGGTAAGAAGTGGTAGTAGTAGTAGTATTTATTTTATTTACCATCGGATGCCTCAACAGTGATAATACACAACTCTTAAGAGGGCCGATAACAGGATCAGTGGAAAGGAAAAGAAAAGAAAAAATAGAAAAAATTGGAATCCAGACAATCATGCAGTACAGTAATCAAACACCAAGTCAACTTCAAGGTTAGTGGTAGGTGTGTAAGTAGTGGTAGGTGTGTAAGTAGTGGTGGGTGTGTAAGTAGTGATACTTGTAGGTGTATAAGTAGTGATAGGTGTGTAAGTAGTGGTAGGTGTGTAAGTAAGTAGTGGTAGGTGTGTAAGTAGTGGTAGGTGTGTAATCTGAAGAACACTTAGCTAGAAGTAACACTTCAAGCGCATGGCCAGCAACCACAACCAAAGTGCTAGGCCGGATAAGTTTGCACGGAAATCAGTGCAAGAAATTTGGCCGGTGTGGATTCCTCTCCTGAGTTATACATACATGTACATGTAGGTTGTTGGTTCAAGGCTTCCTTTCCAGGGTCCACATTTTGCACAGCAGCACTGCTTTTATATTCTCTTCACAGCTTTGGGCAGTGTGACCCTATCAGTTTCGTTAGCGGCTTTGTGTTATCTCCGTCTCCATCCACCACATCGCTCTAATCCCAGGGGAAGTGTGGGAAAGGGGGGGGGGGGGGGGGTACACCGGGAATAGCTGCCATCCTCATGCAGCAGACGAAGCAATGATACCATGGTTCCCATTGTTTCCCTCCTTCTCTTGCTCTTCCTCCTCAAACCCTTCTCCTTCTGTCTTTCTGTCTGTCTCTCCTCCACTTCTCCCCCTCACTTATACATCACAAGACGTCTCTGTGTCCAAAACACTTCATGCCCAACTCCACACACCTAGCTTGCCAGGTTCATTTGCGCTTTCTAGTATGCAGCCAAGCAGTACATCGAACCTTGAAGCTGCAAACTTTGCTCCTTCTCTTTACCTAGCTCATGTGGTGTTGTGCTGATGTGTACATTCACGAAAGTGCAAACATGTTTACAGTCATATGCTTTCATGGGAACAGAGGAAAGTCTGTCTGGGGTCTTGATTTTTGATCTTCCGAGTACTATAATAACCTACAAGTATTACAGAACTGTATGGTATGAACATATGCTGGCAAGGTGTATCGGCAGAATGAGCATAGCACAGTGATACAGACATCATAGTAGTTACTGGGGTTAGGTAAATGGTGCTTCAAAAAGACCAGACCAGATGGTTTGAATGGAATAAGTGACTTACAGCATGCTATGCAGGAAACTTGGGAGAGTTCGGAACATGAAGGTCCTCCAGTGATAGTTGTGCACAATGATAATTGAAACAACATGTTGCACTAGGACTGAATTTGAATTGGTTTTTTTTGTACGAGTCCGATTTCTATTCGGCTCTTATGGAGTTATGCCAACTTTGATGAGGCTACCGGTCTTAAACTGAATCTGCACGCCGGTGAAGTTTAGCCTCTTCAGCGAGATGTTCGATTTACGTGTATCTCAATAGCAGGGTGGAGCAACATAGGAAGTTGTGAACAGAAACATGCATTTTTAATTGACAATATACATGGGAAGTTTGTAAACCGAGTGGATGCTACTGGTCGAATAATTATAAATTTTCATTTCATATCGCCAGGCACCCCAGGACACGCCAATCAGGATTCTTGCAAATGCCGCGTCGGTCCTCGACACTACGTTCCAGGCGTTCTGGCCATGGTGCCGCTGCTCTCTAAACGCATTGACTGAAACACTTGTAAGGAACGCTGTCCTGATGGCATGGTTGGCAATCGGCCGCGTTTAACGTGCTGCTGGGCTCTCTGGGTGGTTGAACGGTTGCTAGTATTCTTCGGTATCCTCGCGCCTGTGCTGCTTCAATGCTGCACCTTCACCGGCTGTCACCGTTATGGCATATACCACTGTTTTGCCGGAGGCTAAAGCCGCGCAATGGACGATTGCTGGTGTTTGAAGCGCACAGGCACGTTAGCTTCACGCGGAACCTCCCTGGCTGCTGGTAGATCTGCCGAGACCGGTGCATTCATTACACCTAACATCTCTTCAGCTGCCAGATTGGGCCGCGTAAGGTTCTCCCAGGCCAGTTTTCTCATGGGTTGAATGGAGTGTACGCTGCTTACCGTTTGAAGAGGATGTATCACAGAGCGCTTTATCTGCAATGATGACGTACACCAATGCCAAGCTTAGTATTATTGCGCAAGTATGATACCAGATGTAGTGCCCTAATGGAAAGCTACATCAAAAGTGGACGCATGGGCCCATACCAGATCAGAGCCTCCTGATTCCTTTGTGAGTTCTCTCCCCTCCCCCTGACAAGATACTTCCCTCCCTGAAACTTTTACTACCATCTTTACATGTGTGTTAATGTTGAAGGTGCTAACAGCAGACAAGTCACACTCTGTGTACACAACGACTGGGGTAATGGGACCGGCCTACAATAATATACAAGTCGTTCTAATGGCAGGATCTTCTTGTTGATATGCCGTGTTATCATAACACAGTCACATGTACTATAGTCTGCTGTGTACCAGTGTGTACGTACAGCTGTCAGAACAACCGTACATACCAAACCAACATGACTGCCAGTGACAATAATAACAGCAGTTACAGCAGTTACAGCAGTTACAGCAGTTACAGCACCAATGGCAGAAGTAACTGCAGGGTCAGCAACCGTAGCAGCAGCAGCAGCAGCAGCAGCAGCAACGGCAGCATCAACAGTAGCAGCAACGGCAGCAACGACAGCATCAACAGTAGCAGCAACGGCAGCAACTGCAGCAGCAGCAACAACAACAATGAAGCTACAAGTAGTATGCCTTACCTTGTGCTGGCGGTTTGCAATGACCAACGTGATGGCCGTGATGGGGATGAGCGCACCGACGCCCACACATAGTCCAATAAACAAGGGTTCCTTGATTATCCTGTGAATGGAAATCGGACATGCACGTGTCCAGATGGCAACTGCCAACACAGTCTAACACAGTCTAACACAGTCTAACACAGTCTAACACAGTCTAACACAGTCTAACACAGTCCAACACACAGTCCAACACACAGTCCAACACACAGTCCAACACACAGTCCAACACACAGTCCAACACACAGTCCAACACACAGTCCAACACAGTCCAACACAGTCCAACACACAGTCCAACACACAGTCCAACACACAGTCCAACACAGTCCAACACAGTCCAACACAGTCTAACACAGTCTAACACAGTCCAACACAGTCCAACACAGTCTAACACAGTCCAACGCAGTCCAACACAGTCCAACACAGTCCAACACAGTCCAACACAGTCCAACACAGTCCAACACAGTCCAACACAGTCCAACACAGTCCAACACAGTCCAACACAGTCCAACACACAGTCCAACACACAGTCCAACACACAGTCCAACACAGTCCAACACAGTCCAACACAGTCCAACACAGTCTAACACAGTCCAACACAGTCCAACACAGTCCAACACAGTCCAACACAGTCCAACACAGTCTAACACAGTCTAACACAGTCTAACACAGTCTAACACAGTCCAACACAGTCCAACACAGTCCAACACAGTCCAACACAGTCCAACACAGTCTACCACAGTCTAACACAGTCTAACACAGTCTAACACAGTCTAACACAGTCTAACACAGTCTAACACAGTCTAACACAGTCTAACACAGTCTACCAGTCACGTTACACGTACTGTTGTGGACATTGAAGTCCTATGGGATGATCGGGACCGCCGGCGGCGCCCTTACTGCATTAACGCGTACATGCGTTCTAGTTCACGTACACACTGTCAAAATGGACCAGCAGTGCTCGCGGCTGCAAGGCCAGCGCCTCGTTGCCGCCTTTTCTCAAAGGATTTCAATGGCGTATTGCAACACAATCGAAATGAGCTCCATGATCCAGCTGTCTCAGCAAGTGTTAGTGACTACTTGCTCAGTTTCCAGATATCACACTGTGACACGCTGATCTATCGTGACCAACAGTCACTGATATATCACACGCTGATCTACACCAACAGTCACTGATATTATCACACGCTGATCTACACCAACAGTCACTGATATTATCACACGCTGATCTACACCAACCTGAGTCACTGATATATCACACGCTGATCTACACCAACAGTCACTGATATTATCACACGCTGATCTACACCACTGTTGAACAGTCACTGATATTATCACACGCTGATCTACACCAACAGTCACTGATATATCACACGCTGATCTACACCAACCTGAGTCACTGATAGCCAGCAAACTGACATCTGCTGCTGGGCATGTGGAAATGTAGCCCTCACAGTGGGATGGTCCATTTCCCCAGCCTAGGAGCAAGGGCTTAGGACCAGGGTGATGTGCCCCCCCCCCTGCCCTTGGCCAGAATCCGTTCATATTGAAGTTTATTCATTTATACAATTGGGGAGTGAAACAGAGGAGACATCATACCTTTTTGCTAAGCTCCCTTCATCGTCGCCTGTGCCGACCCCTGTCGTGATGGTACTGGTGGTCGTGTCAGTAGTGATATCGTCAGAAGTAGTGTTGTCTGGGTAACTCATTGATAAGTTGCCAGTTACTGTGTCGTTGTAAAGACCACTGCCACCATATTCTAATGTACCATTCTGCATGGCGTCGGTTACAGTGGCGGCTGGAAGCGCTGATGAGATGGCACTGGTCGGCCAACAGACTGCCACACAAATCATGACGAACACTGACACCTGCGGTAACGGACAGAGTGTCCGTGCCCTCCTCCGCAGTGCTCGTCCACCCACCTGGCCGGTAACACACCCATACATGGACACGTTCACATGCTGACATGCCAAGAGAAAAAAAGATGCACACACATACATGTACATACATGCACACACAGCATTGGGTACACACACACACACACACACACACACACACACACACACACACACACACACACACACACACACACACACACACACACACACACACACACACACACATACGCATGATGTACACACATAATTATTGACTTAAAATGTCCATCGCGAATGTTAATTACGGTCTAAGCTACAATTATTATAGGCAAAGCAGCTAAGCTACAGGCAAAAAGACACACATAATTATGTCCACATACACACCGACGGTGCAAACTTGGCTGCGATGATTCGGGAAAAGATAACACAACTTGAGCCATAGTGACTTCAGGTGTGCAACAAAGGACTGGTCTGGGACGGTGTTGACAACATTGACTCACAATCTAAAGGTACAGTACAGCTCAATGAAACCTGAGTCAAGTATGGGCCGGTTGCTGAGCAGCCCTAGACGGGTGAACACTGGGATTTTCACTCCAAAAGTACGCAAAGCTGACGAGCTCCATCGGATTTTTTTGATTTTTTTAATTGAAAAACCACAAACCTTCAGACATGTGAATGTGCACATGATATACAGTTTACATACGTATGTATCGAGAAGGCAGCACAGAAACGGCAGTGGTGGTGAGGCCTGGGCAGCTCGTCCGACCGTGGGTCTCGGAGTCAACACTGGGCAGACGCACCGGGAGGGGGGGGGGGGGGTGGTAGCTTAGGAGATAAGGGATCATGGAGCCAGCGTGATCATAGTATGTAATGCATATGCAGAAGTAATATGTAAATCTTAAAATCAATAGTGTGGTGGGCCTGCGCAGAGGAAAGGCATCATGGACATGCATTGAGCAGCCCTGTACTTCCCGTGCACATTTGCAACTGCTACTAACACTACTGAATTTTTAAAGGGGAAGTTAAGGCAAAAATTAAAATTTCACCAGTTGTAGTCTTCGGGGTGCTGAGTCGAATGGTCTTGGTCCGAGGAAGCTGAGACGCTCCCTTCCTACTTGAATCCCAATCGAACTCGCGCACTTCCACCGAAACTGGGTGACTGCGCCCTACGAGATGGGGATTTGTATGCAAAATGTCACTAAAAGCGCCATTTCGTTCTTATAAAAGCACGGATGACGGCGATTGGCCCATATGTTGTAGTCTTTGGGACGCTGAGTCGACTGGTTTTGGTCCGAAAAGGCTGCGATGCGGCGTTCCTCCTTTATTCCCAATCGAACATGGTTGAAGAAGCGGTCACGTGCTCCTGCGTACACCAGTCACCTGGTCACCGTGCCTGCAGGGTACAACTTACTAGCCTGTTTGACCTTTTTTGGGTGCAGTCCTGTCACTCGAGTTGAACCCGAGTTGAACCTTGGTGTGAAAGTTGTCACCTGCTGGCGTGGTGACCAGGTGATTTGGGCACCCAGGACCACGTGACCGCTTCTTCAACCATGTTCGATTGGGAATAAAGGAGGAACGCTGCATCGCAGCCTTTTCGGACCAAAACCAGTCGACTCAGCGTCCCAAAGACTACAACATATGGGCCAATCGCCGTCATCCGTGCTTTTATAAGAACGAAATGGCGCTTTTAGTGACATTTTGCATACAAATCCCCATCTCGTAGGGCGCAGTCACCCAGTTTCGGTGGAAGTGCGCGAGTTCGATTGGGATTCAAGTAGGAAGGGAGCGTCTCAGCTTCCTCGGACCAAGACCATTCGACTCAGCACCCCGAAGACTACAACTGGTGAAATTTTAATTTTTGCCTTAACTTCCCCTTTAAATAAGTCTGAGGGACTGAAAAGGAAAAAGTATGAGGAAACATTGACTGTCACCACCAGGACTCAAGCCAGAGAGACCTTCACTACAGGCCAGCTAGCGATGCTCCAACGGAGCTATGCTGTAGCTGCCATCCAAGCAGCTTGTGACTCGGTGGTAGATCACAGGTAGATCTACGTAGATGTAGATCTACAATCATCAATGTAGGTCTAGATCTACTGAAGGGGTTTATGAATGCTAGCCTATGCCATCATTTAGGCGACATCACCACGAAAGCGTTCAGCAGAAATAAAATTCATGGACAGCGTGAACGCGTGGGTCCACCGGTGGATTGCATAACCAAACTGTTACGCTGTATGTTCCCTTCTTTGAAAATATCGGACACTGCCGAATAAAGTTATACCACAGAACACAGAATATTCTTACCATTGTCTTGGTTGACAGGCTTCGAGGACGGGTTGGTGCTTCGTCGCGCTTCTTTCCCTCCGCTCTTAGTAGTCTGGCGCAGGCTGATCACAACCAGTGAGTTTGATGTCTTATGCGAACTCAGGCTCCTCGAATGGGTTTCGCTTGCTAGGGCTGGGTCCGTTGGAGCGACCCGAAGATAACTATACTATGCATTCCACTGGATAAAAGCGGAAGAAGTTTGAAGACTGTAACGAACGCCACTAACGATAACGGCGAATATCTGCTACAGGTGTGTTGTCAGGCGATATCTATCTGGATTGTAAGCTAGGATAGAACTGGGACGAGAATACATACACACGAAACTCGATCGAAGAAGGTGTAGAGTGTGCCAGTATTTCGCAAGATAAAAAAACCTTTCGAATGAACCAGTGCAGTGTGGCGATGATGAAAGGGAGATACATTTCATTCGTTAGTCCGTGTTGCGTAGCACATTTGATTCGTCGTGTCGTGACCACACATATAGAACAAGGCGTTTCTAACGACGGTTACGTGCTCTTCGCGTGGAATTTAGACAGCTTGTCTGACAGCTTCTCCGGTCCGCAAACACGGCGACTACGAGAACTTCGCAGCCCCGCTGAGAATGAGAGGTGGTACAAGACTGGGACTCGACAGCTAAAAAGCTAGTTGGCAATTATTGACAGTAACGCGTCAACATGGTCAATGTTCCACCATACCAGTTGAATTTCGTCACTCGGACTATTGCTGCAGTCATTGTAGTGGTGTTTCTAGCGCTGAGCTTGCTTGGACGGGAGACTCGGTAGAAGGACTAGACTGGAGCGTGGCTTTGCGAGACCTACCGCAGGTCCCACGCACACGCCGTGCCAATCTGAGAAGTCAGAGAAGAGAGGTGCCTACAGCGCTCAGTACAGAAGCAGTACAATCATGTAGTCGACGATCGGGCCAGACAGGCGTGGATTTGCTACAACAAAATTAATGCAGGGAAGTACGGACAAGAGCAGGGATCGGAGTACAGTATACTAGTAGTAGTGTGCAATATTCGTCTTTGTGGTCCACTCTCACAACAACAACAGACAGAAGTCTCTGCTGAGAGCGCGGTGGCTCGGCAATGGCGAAGCAGGCCCTGGACAAGAGTCGAGTGTAGGCACCGAATCTCTCTCACTCCCTCTGTCGTCCACATGTACATATACATGTAATAATTAAAGGAGGCGGAACCGCCTGTTTGTGGTGCGACGTTTTTTAAATAAACTTCGACAAAAAAATACTACGTAGTCGATCAGCATCTGCGTGTAAGTGAAAGTCGCCGTCTACGTCTTGTCTTGGCAAACAGCGATCAGCAGTGCTAGGTAACAGTACTGATGTCATGACATGCATGACATGTACTGATCTTTTTTGTGTGCGTTCAAGTACTAGTAAGTAGTTAGTTTACAGTACACTACTGCACTGACACAGTGACAGTCTGTAGGAACGTATTTCTTGAAATGTATTTTCTAAAAGAATCACACACCCTGCTGCTCGCAAGGGAAATAGACAAAGTAAAAGATAAGACCGAACAATACGGAAGGAAGGATGGGTCACCAAGAAACAAACATTTTTTAAGTCCGAACCATCAGCCTATAAGAAACAATTTTCTAAGTCTGCCGATGTGAACACATACAATGTACCTCGTTTATCCTGGCGATCCAGGACCAAGCACTGGCTTCAACTTCAAAAAATTAATGTCCTCTGACCATTTCCACAAAACCCCGCCCAAAGTTTACCCCCACCGAAGTGCCCATAACTTTGGTGTTCGGATAGCTGAGGTATGAGTGCACGTCCTTCACAGTTCAACCTCTAGTCTTGACTGGTGTAAATCGGGGAGGGGAGGGGAGGGTCGGTCCAGTTCTGGACATCTGATACACCAGCCGAGGTTACCATGGTTACAGTGGTAGTAGTAGTAGTAGTAGATTTTATTATTTTACTAAGGGAGTCCCAACAGGCGTTGCCTTTTTACTGGGAACCCTAGGTGAGTTTTTACCATGTTTACATACAGAGTAAGAGACGGGGCCTGACGGCAGTCAGTGGGAAGAGCATTCCATCTGTCTGCCGCCAGGAAAGAAATAGAACGCATGCCATATTGCGTAGAAACAGGCGGAAGAACTAATGCGCGCTGTGCCTGGCTGGTACTATGTAGGCAGGGCAAACATAGGAATTGAGTGCTATGTTTACAGGGTTAAAGACACTAATGATCAACAGTCACTGAACATCATGAGAGGCAGACAGTTGCCACCAGTTCTTGGAATTAAAAAAACTAGTCACTGTGGTATGATTTTAAATAGAAAAAAGAGTCTCTACATACTTTACTACTTTACTAGTGTCTTTCAAACACACACACGATACAATTGATACAATTGATACAATTGCAAAATTACAAAGCTAAGATGTTGGTGTTACCAAGGTGCGGATGCAGCAGCGGAAAATAAAATAGAAAGTACTGACACAAAGCCCAGCCTCAAAACCGAAGGTAACGTCTCGAGGTCTTTTCATTCCTATGGGCATGAATCTTGTGAATCTGAAAAGGTACCGCTTGTACTGCATTCGTTGTCAGCAGTCAATACGGATGATATAATTATCTAAAGGAATCCCGAGAATCAGAAACCATCACATCATAAGGTGTATGGTGCGAAAAGACACACAGCAAACATCAGGAGGGTAGCAATGCATGGGATGGCCGGTGCAGCAGCAGCCGATGTAGTGGCACCGACATTGCCATTTGTACCAGCAGCTGATGTGGTGGCACTGACATTGCCATTTGTAACGGGCTGGGAGGTTGAGCCAGTGGCTGTGCTGACACTTGCCCTCACACCGATCTTTGGAGAACACATTGTTCCCTTGACACCTGTGTTGTATAACGGACAGTCAGACAGACAGACACATACACACAGACACGGATACAGACATCGACACAAATACACACACACACACACATACCGTGTGTCAGCGCCTTTAAAGCCATGGCCTTATATTCGAAACACCGCTGCTTTCCTAGATATTTTAGAAGCAAAATGACTCACCCACTACGCCATGCCATAAAAGTCAAAGTCCACACAGAAATTTCAAGCCAAATCTACTTGTTCACCCTTCCTGCTGGGCTGTAAGTTTGTTACCATAGTACTGATTCCTTCATTTTTGAAAAATACACTTCAAATGTCATTTCATTTATGAAGCCCATGGCTTTATAACTGAGACTGGCTTTATAATCGAATATAACTCCATGGCTTTAAATGTGCGGACATACGGTAATACACACACAGGAGCATGCACAGCAGGCGTGCATTCTTTCAATTATAGGCACTCACATTTGCATCATTACACATAGCACAAACTCCTCAAAAACAGCGAACTCATCGGCCCGACAACATCATTACTACTCTTGGAGACCCCCTACCCCATGCGTCACAAATGCATACTCGGTACGGCAAGGGAACTCTACAGTGATGAACATGTGCAGCATTGCAGGCCACTTGGTTCCGAAGACCTGCGTGCTCTGCCTCCATAGCCTGTGTACAGGAGTTCATCGATGTATTTCGAAGTAGGTTTGCAGCTCTGAAAACGTACCTTATTGCATACATCTAGCCATTCCCCTTCGGTCACACATGAACATGTGTGTTTTTGTTTTTGCGATTTTCCATACTCCAATCCGGGTATGTCCTTGCCTTGATTTGCAAGAGCTATTTGCATACATGTTGTGGTCCCATTGTTGTGCCAACGTCTACTGATCAGACTCATGCGCTACGATGTACAGGCGGAGTACGTGCCTGGCAAGAACATGGTTCTCGCCGACACGCTGTCCAGAGCTCCTCTTCCTGACACGCCAGCAACCGAATCCGACCTACACAGTGACTCGGAAGCCACCATCGCCGCTGTCCTGTCGTCTCTATGCAGTCCTACCAAGCAACACGCTCTCGTTACAGCCACTGCTGACGATCCAGTCCTGCAACAAGTAATCCAGCATACCCTCCATGGCTGGCCGACCAAGGTCAACGCAGACCTGGAAGCCTATCGCAACGAACGTGGCTCACTCTCAGTTCATGACGGTCTGCTGTACCACGGATTTCGGATCGTAGTCCCGGCATCCGAGCGCAACGCTACACTTGCCACTTTGCATGACGGTCACCAAGGCATAACCAAGTGCCTGGCCCGTGCGAAGTCCTCCGTCTGGTGGCCAGGTATCACACGTGCCATTTCAGAATGCGTGCAGAACTGCCTGACCTGCACCAAGCATCGTTTTCAGCCGCCAGAGCCTCTGTCTCCAACTGCGTTTCCCTCTTTGCCATGGGAGAGAATAGGAGTCGACCTCTGCCAACATGACGGTCAGGAGTACCTCATTGCTGTCGACTACTTCTCCAGGTACATCCACGCCATCCCGCTACGGAAGACTACCTCTGGAGCCGTCATCAAGGAACTCCACGAGCTGTTCGCCATCCATGGCATCCCTCAAGCTCTTGTGTCGGACAACGGTCCACAGTTCGCAAGTGCTGAATTCGCCGCATTCACAGCCCAAATGCAGCTCACCCACCACACCAGTAGCCCGCACTACCCACAGAGCAACGGTGAAGCTGAGCGAGCGGTTCGAACATTCAAGCGTCTCCTGAAGACCAACAACAGCCTCAACGATGCCCTACTCAGTTACAGGTCAACACCCCTCGCAAATGGCTACTCGCCAGCCGAGCTCCTGTTTGGTCGTCGTCTACGCACACACCTCCCATGTACAGCGGAATCCCTCGCTCCAAGTTGGCCTGATATTTCCAAGCTAAGGAAGTTCGAGGTGAGGCAGAAAGACCGACAGAGTGAGACGTACGACTCGTCACACCGAGCACAATCTCTGCCACCATTGACCCAAGGCGACCGAGTCTGGGTGCAAAATCTCGCTTCCGAAGCCGTGATTGCAGACCGCGTCTCCGACAGATCCTATATTGTCACGACCGACAACCTGTCAGAGTACCGCCGCAACCGTCGCCACGTCAAGTTGCTACCTGATGTGCAACCAACACCAACACCGCAGTTGAATGTCACTACACCTGCAGAACCTCCATCCGCTGATGTCGAGTTCCAGCCTATCTTGCGCCGATCAGCACGTCCATCCCGGCCGCTGAACAGACTCGACCTGTAAACGCATTAGTCATTGCTCATGCTATGATCACTCCAGTCGCTGACGCTGATGATCGTGAACTGCATGTAGTATTTGTGTGTCTCTACCCTATCTCCTCTGTTTGTATATGACTAAATATTCTTCGAGCTGTTACCTCTGTAACCTCTCTCTCTTCGAACATAAAAAGGGAGATGTTGTGGTCCCATTGTTGTACCCGATCCGTTCCGGGATCGGTTACCCATATGCATTCCCGTACTGTGTACATATATGGATCCTGGTTGTGCATCTTTATCTTTCGTTGTTCTATGTAAATAAACTTTAGTTGTTGTCTGGGACTTGTGGAGTGAAGTTGATCTATGGAGTGCGGGAACTAACTTGATGTTCACTCAGGAACATTACAATACACACACTGTAACCCCTATGGGTTTCATCACTTCTGGCTGGGCATGAGAAGAGCTGATTCCCTGTTTTCTAGAACTCCTACTTGTACTCCAACAGTATGACGTGTAGTTGGGTCCAATGTTGAAATTGTGTAGTCACGTTACTCAGGAAAGGTGTCCTTTCTGTACATTGTATGGGACATTGGCATGGCAAGGCAAGCACATTACAACCCTGGAGTCGAACACATGTAACAGTGTAAGCAGTCTAAGTACAATTATTACACCTCGTAAGCCAGAGCAGTGTGACCTGCTGTTGGCAACCAAACAGAGAGGTCTAATGTGCAAGGACATACCTGGACCAGTGCCTGTAGCCACCAGAGTTCCGCTGATCATGCGCTGCCGTATGGTCTGATAGCGATAGCAGCCGAACGTGTACGGGTAGGTGTTATTAGTCGTGTGGTAGATATAGCCTAGAGTCGGGTGGGTGCGACCGTTGCAAACATCCAGGTCGGTTGGTGCCAAACCATTGTCACTCTGTGGGCCGTAGATAGGAATGCCTGCAGCCAGTAGTAACCATGGTAACATGGCAAAGAAAGAGACAATACATTTTCCTGCTGTGACTCATGTGCGTACTTAAAGACACTGTTTGACCCGGATGATGGTGGAAATTTACCAAAACATTATTCTAACAAGTGAAAGCAAATGCGTTTTGACTATGCAGTGCTAGGGGAAGGGGGCATGCTGCCCCTCCAGCACTCCATGATTTCCCTCTGATCTATGAAGCTGCAGAACGCCTCACCCCTCTTACAGAGTAACCATTCAATGTCATATTCACTGCACCGACACTGGGACACCATGTCTTGTAATCCTACAAGGCCGAGAGAAACTAGACACTCTCCACTTGCAACTGCTCACCGTCGAATGCATAGCCGATCTTGGGCGAGTGTTGTCCTGGTGTGTCTTGGAAGAGGCATCCGTCCCTGGGCAGTATGTAGTGATGATGGTAAGCGCCCGTCATTGTCGGATGTCCAAAGCATAGATCCATCACCTCAAACCTGGGAGATCAGAGACCGGCAAGCAGTGGAAAACATGCGGCACAACGTGACACACGGCTACATATGACTCACTGTATACAGTAACACCTGGTTTAAGCGACCACCCCACGGTACCACGGTGCCACGGTGCAAGCAAGAGATCACCCCACGGTGCCACGGTGCAAGCAAGAGATCACCCCACGGTGCCACGATGCAAGCAAGAGATCACCCCACGGTGCAAGCAAGAGCGGTCGTTAAATCCAGGTCTTTAGAACCAGGTCCCATACATTTGTGGTATATCGGATTAAGGGCTTGCGAGAATTTGGTAAACCATGGCCTCTTCAGGGAAGGCCACCCTGGAGCAGTTTTCTGGCGGGGACTTTGCGGAGTACCGGGAACGGCTTGAGTTTTATTTTCTCGCAAATGACATCGGTGTTGTTTCAGCCAGTGCAAACTCATCGGAGAAAGAACGCGTACGTAAGAAGATGATTGCACATCTAATCTCTTCACTGTCGAAAGACGTCTACTCCACTTTGCGGAACCTCTGTCTGCCGGAGTCAATATCGGACAAGACCTTCGAGCAGATTTGTGACCTACTGAATGGATATTACAGAGTGGAGCGTTCCACGATGACTTCTTCTTTTCAATTTCGCGATTGCAACCAGAGACCAGCGGAAAAGCTGGTAGATTACGCAAATCGTTTGAAACGTGCGGCAGTAGCCTGCGACTTTGGGTCGCATTTAGACAGCAGTGCTATGAATTACTCTGTCCAGGTAAATGATGTGGTCTGGAAACGACACCGTAACCAACTCCGGCCACGTTCAATACCACTTTCTCAGTTAGCAGAACAGACACGTTCTGCACCACAGCAGCAACAGCTCCAGCCGCAGCAGCAACAACTCCAGCCGCAGCAGCAGCAGCAACAACAACTGTCACCACAACAGCAACAGCCTCAGCCGCAGCAGCAGCAGGTGCCACAGCAGTTGCCGCCTCAGAAGGCTCAACAGCCGACGACTTCACAGCAGAAAGAGCAGCCCAGGCAACAGTCGCAGGATGAGCAGGGTCAACAGTCGTTAGCTTCTACAGCCCCAGCTGATGCTGTACCTGTTGACCGGCAGGTGACTCGATCTGGTCGGTCAGTCGTAAGACCAGCTCGGTATAACGGATGAGACATTTTATACATGTAGGATATGTAATTATTATATTATTTGCATGGATTGATTGAGATGGTCGTGAATGCATGTACGTGGTTCTCTTGTTGCATTTGTATATATCAGTATAATGCTCTGTATAGTACATACCACACATAGAACATTGAACTTTGATAATTGGCACGTCAGACGATGGTACATTATTACATTGTCTGTTCTATGCTATTGTTCCTTGTCATGAAAATGTTTTGTTTTCGGTGTTACCTCTTTTTGCGAGGGGGATATTGTTATATATGCACTCTGATGTAATATATTATGTACTCTGTATGCATTTGTATATACTCATTGCGCATGCTCTGAATCATGGTCTTACTCTACATGTATCCATGCCGGCTGGTTGACTCTGGTGAGCTGCGTGTGAGACTGCATGTAGGGTGTACGTGGATACACAACAGTGCATGATTGTACTTCCATGTACTCATATTGACAGGTGTGGAGCATAGAATACTCTCGTGCAGGCAAAGCACACCTCACTGGAGTGCATGCAGCCCATTCTGCACTGTCACTTGTCACTTCAGTTGACTGCATCCACTTGCTTCAGAGCACACTTCAACCCTGTTGCAGTCAACTCTGCCAGCCAAGATGGCACTTTTGGTTAGTTTTGGTCGCTGTGTGCAGGTCCAATATGGCACTTGGTATACAAAAAGTCAGTCACTGGTTACGCAAGGCAGGTGGTCGCTGTATCCGGTGCAGTTTCTGTATAGAACTGTCCGTGCATAGAAAAACGGTCGTTAAGAGCAGGTGGTCGCTAAAGACGGAGGTCGCTTACACCAGGTTTTACTGTAGATGCTCACGGTCCTTGTGCGTGCGTGGCTGGACTGCTAGTGCCGATGTCACACTGTTGTGATGCGACTGTGCACACTATACTACTGGTGAGGGGCGTAATGAATATGCCACTCTGTGACCGGACTGGACCTAGAGGTTGTCTTTCCCATTTAATTCGAATGCCGCTGTGTCATAATTTATTCTCTTTCTGCATGCTCTCTATTATGAAATGACCTTCTAGATCCGAAAAGGGGGCTTATGTTGTTTCGTGCAGTATTGAGAAAAATGCATTTGAAAGTTTAGTTTTCCACATAAAGCGAGGTATGGTTCCATTATTGAAACCCCATAGCTCTGCGAAAGATGACGATTTTGGACCCAGGTTTTTTACAGAGTGATCTGCTGCGATACAGCTATGTCATGTTATAGATAACTCAAAATGCTCAAAAAATGACATACCGTAAAGTCGCGGATAAAAGCCGGGCTTATAAGCACATAAGCCGCTTTCTGCATCAGGCTTTAATGCAAACCAGGCTTGTATGCAAACCATGCTTATATGCACCACACTTGCATAGAAGCCAGGCTTCTACGCGCGACACGCGTAGATCTACCACTGACTACCGGTATGGTGGCAGTTTTACTATGCACTGTACATAGCGCATGCACTCTTGACCTACCCGATCCGCGCTTGCATAGAAGCCAGGCTTCTACGCGCGACAGGCTTATATGCATTTGACCCGTTTGATTTTCAGGCTTCTATCCGCGATGTGCTTGTATGCAAACCCGGCTTTTATCCGCGACTTTACGGTAAGCCCCCTTTTTGGATCTAGACTGGGCTCAAATGGATTAGTCATGTATCACGAACAGCTAGCCTATGGCTATGTACTCTACAATCCATTTCACCTTTAGGACATTTTAAGTGTACCTGTACAGCAAAACCTGTATTTTGCGACCACTGCAATAAAGGGGCCATCTGTCATTGAAGACCACCTCAGTAGACCAGTCACCATAGCATGTCAACCTGTGGAGGAAATCAATGTTCCATTCTATGGCCGGAGACTGTGTGTGCCATGGCATGGGGTGGTGGCCAAATCCAGGTTAGTAGTAGTAGCAGGGGCGTAGCACCCGCTACGACTGGTACGATCGTGGCCGTACCACTTTTCGAAAAGTGTGGTCCGTCTGGAACGTGCAAAACCGTAATAAAAAAATCAGGATCCATCGATGCATACATATGTACATGTACACAAGAGTACATAACCCCCCCCCCCCCCCCAGATGCAGAGTGTGCAACGCCGATATCGCGATCCAGCTCTGCATATGTATTGTAGAGCGGAATCGGATCTTCTGATGTCATGCGTACACTCCACACCAGCGCAAGGCCGGTCTCGAGGCAGGGCATCATTGTTTTTGATCCGAGGAGGTTATGATGGTTATGACTCTTGATCATGTTGATGTACATGTATGCGCATCAGACTTTGACCATTTTCTAGACTCGTAGATCTGTTATGCATCTGCAGTCGTGCTGAGTACTGTACTCGACTCGACTGCACACTGCGCCTGAAGTGTGCCAGAAGTAACCCAGAACGCAGGATTTTGTGTCTTTTTTACAAAATTTTCCCGGGGGACGTAGCCCGGACCCCCCTCCAACACGGCCTTCGGCCGCACCGACCTTCGGTCGTACCACTTCCAAAACCCCTCCTACGCCCCTGAGTAGATTCTACAGTCATGTACAGGTCACAGTGCAAAGTCAGGTGGTGCTACAGTTCAGTTTAGTGTGCCGCTGAGTGTCTGCTATTGCTAGAAACTTGGAATGCACTATGAAGCTCACCCTCCACTAGTTGGATCCACTGCATCCTGCCGCTGGTTGTTGAAGGGGTTGAAGAAAGGGACGCCGTCCAGGGCAAACGCAATTGGCCCATACTGAAGCTCTCCATTACTGCCAGTGGCCTGTATTTCAAAAATTTAACAGGGGACATGGAAAATCATCGATAAAGGCCGCAGGCTAATGTGGACACTGAGTTGATACAACTTAAAACAGATGGGGGAATGCTGTCAGAATCACAGCCGGGGCTCCCAGACACTGCAAGTCGGGTCAGGAGTTTGGATAACAGATGTGTTCGAATGCCTGCGGACCTCAGGCTGGCTTGCTGCATACTCGTTTCCATCAGGAGTAACACATACTTGAGAACCCATACTTGTGTCACGCCTATAATGCGCATGTTGGAGATACATAGAAGATAATTTTAATCCAGGACAGTCAATGCATGGTGCGTGCAGTGTTAATCCCTCCCCCATGCTGCGAGGGGTTAAACGTCTCTATTTGGCAATATCGAGGCTGCTATGTTTGTTGTCATTGGTGTGGTATGGTGCTCACACATCCACGTACCTGTGGCGGAGCTGTGGCCTTGATGACGGGAGTCTTGGGAATCTTCCATTCATACGTCTGCATCGCCATCGTGTTGGGATTGTCTCCGTGTCCAGAACCCGTTGTGTCCGTGCGGAATGGGAACTTGCCCACATAACTGGCGTTCGATGGGATGCCAGCAGAGGTGATTAGAAGATGGTCGCTTCGGTCCTCGCAGCTAATGCTGCTGGTCAGTGGTAGGGTGGTGGCACCGGCGTAATTCCAGTTGTATGCGCTGCCATCAAAGCTGGGAATGTTGGCACTCACCACGGTCCATGGCACCTCGCGGGGTTGTGTCCCGGAGCAAATCAGGTCCAAGTCGTTACAGGTCAAAGACCATGTACCGGTCACCGTACACATGCACAGAAGAATTGAGAATGCAATGATCGGAACCATTATTGGCACCCGAATTTCTGTTTCTCCTCCGTGTCAAGCTAGCTCCAAATGGTCTCAGTCACCCAGTTACACAGCAACTCGCGCAAGCCAACTAACCGCTTTCTTCCAGGACTCCCGTCTTTTATTCTACCCCTCACCCAGCCTTCAAGTGGACACACCCCGTCTGATATCTTTACATAACCTCATAATCATTATGATAACAGATTCTGAAGACTGAAACTCGCTCAAAAAGATCCAGATCTACATGACATCGTGTTACTTCCATTATCCAGTGTTCCGTCAGTCCTTACCTTAGCTTGTGTGGAGTGCACGTGCACCAACCAAGGCGAGAAACGTGACAACATGACATAATTAATAATTTTTGTCACTTTTGGGAGTTGGAGGCTTGTACCTGCTGGTACTGTGAAAAGTAGGTCATGAAACGTGCCTGGTATGAGTGGTAATGGAGGGAGGATCTAGGAGGAGGAGGCGTGCTGGCAAGAGCTACATACTAGTACATAGTCATTGTACTAGTATGTTGCCTACTGTCCTGAGTACTGTCGAGTCGATGTTGTCGTGCCGATACGGGTTGCTCCTGTTTTCCTGGGCCTTGACCTTGTCTACTGTACTTCTTCGCCCTCACCAGGGCCAGGGCCAGTTTTACTACTCCCTGGTTCGTACCATGCACTTGGTGATACTGTCCAGACCCAGTCTGTACAGTAGCATCGTCGGCTTTTAGTTTTACTGTAGTCCTGGTACATGGTAGTGGTACTAGTGGTAGACGTTAAAGTCACGTAACTCCGCACCTCGTCTCACTCTCAGCTAAGCCTAGTCTTGGCAGATAGTAGTATACTGGACAAGCCCTGATTACATTTGAATCCGTTGAGTTCTTTGTAATTGTCCATTGTTGTTCTCACATTTTGCTGATTGTAATAGAAACTTTGTGTCAAGTACAGTATACACTGGCCCAGGGAATAGTAAAATACACTACCGGTAGTCTAGGCGCTAGGCGCTGAATACAATAATTTTAAAATAATTACTATGAATGATCACCATGATCCTGAGTTGTGTGACACGTGACTATTGACTTTTAATCGTGGGAATGTGCCAAAGCAATATGCAATATTGACCAATCAAGTAAAAAGGCAATGCCAGACCTGCAGAACGGCAATGAAATTCACAAAACAGATCAAGCGAAGGCCGAAACGCTATATACCTTCTTTGCCCGCCAATGCACCACTCAGTCAACGCCGCCGAATACTGTAGCAACTGGTATGACAATCAATGAAGCCGGCGTCGATGGAAACAAATTTGGATTCGGAAAGATAAGCCCTATTGAAGTTTTCGATGCAGCAAGGAGGCTGCGACAACATAAATCATCATCAGACATCAACCTGACAAACCGTATACTAAATCAATTCGCAGACATCCTCTCCCAATCACTGTCAGTATTGTTCAACTACAGCCTTGAAGACGGTGTGTTCCCGTCCTCCTGGAAATCATCCACCGTAATACCGGTAAGCCCGACTTCAAGGGTGAGACCGACGAGATGTTTTCTGATCTGGAGCCAGTAGAGGTTACCCTGTCCATGATCCAGTCGCTTCCTTGGCAGCTTCATTTCATCATCCCATGACGCTACTGCTATTTTCCAGGACGCGATCAAGACTGGTGGTGATGAATGACCACAACGCACATTGTCGCCAGGTCACCAGGTCACTCTCAACTCCAGCAAGAACAGAGACGTGCAGTCTGCCCAGATCAGCCAGGTCCAGGAGCTTGTTGCGGGACTCCCTCCCACTCCCGCAACACTGAGCAGCGATCACTTTCACGCATTGTGAAAGCCAGTGATTCAGGATGGCTCACCGTTCTCCCTTTGCGCCAGGAAGGTTATGATGACATGTCCTCTGTACAGTTCCGGGACCAGCCCGCCATCAGATATGGGCGCGAGCCATGCATCTTCCTGCTGAGTTACCGTAGTGTGATGGCTGTGTCTAGGTGTTGGCGGATAATGCCGGCATTATATCCAGCATTATACACCACCCTGAGCATTGCGAGCATCATAAAGCATTACGAGGCCAAAAATGGCAATACGACGTCACGAGACTGCATGGTAGATCTACACACATCGTCATGTACAGATTCGTATCATGCAGCTGGCAGTGCCAGGCCCAGTATACCATGGACCGGTATTGCATGCAGGGTAGTGCTAGCTACCTGTGATCCAGCACAGTGTGGAAACTCTCGCTGAAACTTCCGGTCCCGGAAGTCTATCTTCGCGCAGCTTCGGCCAGTAACATATTACTACTTTTTGAAGATCCAGGTAACCAAGTAACAACGCCGAACCAACGAAACAAATGTGACTTGTAACAGTGGAGGTGCGCACACGCACACATTCCAGACCTTACCCGGTTACCGTCCACAATGTTACAAAAAACATTCTTCATCGAAGCAAGAGTCCATGTCTTTGTCGAAGAGTAATGCTGGACTTTCACGGGACATTGACCATTGTGTAAGACCAGTTAGAGCTTGCTTTATGTTATCCGTAGACGAGATTGTTTCCTCTAGTAAAGGGTTATCCACGTGAAGTTTTGCTGGTCTGAACAGAATTTGTATCTCCCGCCGGCGGCGACTACCCTTGTCCGTAGGTGGTCTCTCTTGCCGTGTACATGAGAGTGCACCGTCAGATGCAAGTAGCGGCGGCTGGGTTGTTGTTGTTGTTGTATAAAGTATACAACAACAACAACCCAGCCGCCGCTACTTGCATCTGACGGTGCTGGTGCATCGCTTGCAGTAACTAGCAGCCAACGCTGCTGGCTGACTCGCCGCGATGCCGTTCTTGGGATTAGGGGGAAGCTGGGCTTTCTCCAGATGAGCTTTTGGCGGAGTCCTCTGATGATTGTGACGTCGTCGAGTTGGAAACTGCAGATCCTGCCGCGATAGCGAGGAAGCGGTCTTTTCAGAAAACAGCTATTACCAAGTCTGAAAATGTTTCCAAAAGGACGCGAGTAGCTCATGGACAGAGCACTGAAGTGGCCATCAGTGCCGAAACACGGGTGCGGGAGTTCCCAGATGAGCCGCTCAAAAGCGACTGTGGCAAGTTAGTGTGCCTGGCATGCCATACAACATTGTCAGGGAAGAAGAGTATAATCATGTCCCATATTGCTACCGCGAGACATAAACAAGGAAAGTCCCGTTTGGAGAGGGAAACTCAGAGGCAGAAGCTGGTCAAGGAGTCCTTCTTGGCGTATCCTCTTTGTGCCGCCTCAATATGACTGTATGTGTTTGTACCTAGCGTACATGTTTACCTGAAATTGTATTATGTGTTTTTCATAGCATGGGTGCAATATCATTGCGTTTTTCTTAGCCCAATAGTGGCAATACCGCAAGGTTCAGGTGTTTATATGTCATCCGGCGGAGCATTATCAGCATTATTTGGAGCATTATAATGGCCTTTTGTGGAGCATTACTGAGAGCATTATCCGCCAACACCTAGCTGTGTCGCTCGCTTCACCCTGCAGCATGGGTTGGATTGCCGCAAGGGTGGCCTGGTGAAGAAAGGGAAAAACGATATCGCGACTCAGATGCCAGACTCGCTGAGGTAGCGTTTGGTGGTGTCCATGTTGAGCCTGTTCTCGTTCCGGAGGATGATCAGAACAACCCCGCCCTGCAAGCTGATTGGTCAGCCCGGGATGTCTGGGAGAGTAGCCGGATGGCATTGTTCGACAACCGTATCGTTGATGCTGATGGACCCAGCTACCGCCGGTCATCTTGGGAAGTCGTCGCTCGGAAAGCAGCAGAAAGGAAGAAGAAGAAGTATGGCCAGGTGAGCGAGGAGTTGCGTGCATCGTTCACTCCTCTTGTTTGCTCCACCGATGCCGTACTTGATCGTGAGTATGCTGCCTACCAGCGGCGCCTGGCTAGTAGTAGTCAGCTATAACAAGTGGGGGAGGTCATACACGTCTGTGATGGCATGGGTTCGTATTCGCACCCAGTTCGCAATCTTTCGTGCAGTCGACCTTCGGCTGCGTGGATCTCGCCGACGACTCATTGGTTTGTCCCTCCACGATGCGGCGGGCATTGGAGTTGGGCACTGTGTGACTGATTGGGACACGCATTTTTTTTACAGTGCAACCGTCATTGTTCGCTCTTTTATAAAGCTTTCAAGTTTTTTTAATTTTTAGTTTTGACATCCATGTGCATACATAATTATTATGTTACTGTTGTGTTATAATTATACATGTATACTCAATCTATTACATGTACGTATACATGTATGCACATGTGCAACATTGTTTTTGGGTTTTGCCCGTACAAGAGGCTTTTCTCTCATGTAAAAAAAAAGTAAAAGTACATGTAGTACTACCAAGAGGGAGCTATACTCTCGGTACTAGTACTACTCGTATATGTACTACACCGATGCGGCGATATGCCCATGACCATTGTAGACCTACAATACATTTATGATTTACATTACAGTGCCATGACATTGGCCGGTGTCCATCCAATCGGACTTAGTCGGTGATTGTGGGTAGGCACCGGACCGGCGGATTATGCCAGCATAATTTGGTGGTTGAAAATTTGGAGCATAATCTGGCATCCTTTCGGAGGTAGGAGCATACTGACTATTTTGTGGGTGAGAGTGGGACACTGAGCTCATGATACACATTATATATTATTATTTTAAAATAATAATTATGTGACCACTGGTGACCAGTAGGCACCGGCGGATTATGCTGGCATAATTATTGGCATAATTTGGTGGTTGAAAATTTGGAGCATAATTTGGCATCCTTTCTGAGGTAGGAGCATAACTACATGATTGTAACACAATTCTAGTATGTAAGCTACACAATTGTGTACAATGCACCTGATCAGTGCTGGTGGTCTGCATGGTAAAGGGTTCGGAGTAGCCCTTTTCCAAAGATGCTCGCCACTTTTTTCGCAACTTTCCGTTGTTTTGGAAGAAATCGCAACTTTCTTCATTTTTCTTCAGAATTCCCAAACTCCATTGCAGCGTATTCCTTGCACTTGAAAACACCGCCATGCCCTGATGATGCCCAATGGGCGAAATATTGGCAAAGTTATTTATTTGGTGCAGCTGAGAGCCTGTTGCCGGAATGGCGGTGTTTTCAAGTTTCTTCATTTTCACAAAACAACTCCTTCGCAACTTTTCCGCAAAGGCTATTGGCGCGCCTGGTTGTGATGAAGCCGAGACCCAAGGTCGGCAGAGCATGCCAGACCACGGCCACGCCACCACTCCCCTTATTCATGGCTCACACATGACGGGTTTACGTGGCTCTAGTAAAAAAAAAAAAAAAAAAAAGTGTGCAAAGAAGCGCGCTGGAGGAGACCATCGACTGTGCAAGCTATGGTTATTGCTCTAATAATTAAACAAATGAGGTATAGTTGATGTTCGGTAATGGTGGAAGGAGAGGTGGAGCTACGGGAGAGATGAGCTGATTATTCCCAGGGTGAGGGTGACATCGGTTGGACGAGTATGACGATTACGAAGACAGTTGAGCATGATCATTTTCAAAGGTAACTCAAAATATACAAATAATCTACGTGGAGATAAAAGTTTCATAATAGCTATGAAAAGTATGAATGCCGCAGACGCAACATGGCAATTTGTTCAAGGTTTGGTTTTGTGTGTTTCCAAAATCGATTTTCACGCTCCGATCATCAGTGGAAATACGGAACTAAAGTGATCCAGGGAAAAACAAAGGTTAAAAATCCAAAGAAGTGTGACACATGACGGGTAACTTGTGTGCCCTTGCCGCCACCGGAGCCACCACCAGTGCCGTTGGTGGCTGGGGTTGGGGTGGAGTCGGCAACAACAACAGTACCGCCAATCACAGAATAATCCCATTTCTTTGACACAGTATCCGGCTGTGCGGACACCGCAGCACCCTCCGGCGCTTGATCCGTGGGTCCAGAGACCACGGAGGTTGACCGCCAATTATTCAACCGAAATATATGCTAGGAATGGCCAAGGCCCACGTGGAGCATCGAAGGAGACCAGAAACCTGAAGCAAAACGGAACACAATCTCGGGACGTAGATGAGGTAAGGACAGTGGCACGGGACAGACGTAGGAAGGAGAACATGGATGGTATCAGACGACTGGCTGGTGGTGAATATGAGTTGGGTGATGATGCGGCGGATGACGACGAGGCGGATGACGGCGAGGATACAGATGACGATGAGGCGGCGGATGACGACGAGGCGGATGACGATGAGACGGCTGGTGGTGATGGTGATAAAACGAACGAGGAGGAGTTAGGGTGCAGGGAAGGTGATGAAGCTGATGAGGGTGAAATTCGTAAGAAGTCAGCTGTGTACTTGCATTTGTTATCTCGTCCCGATTGTTTGAGTGTGTATGATGATTCCCACTTCTCTGTACTGTGCCGTGCCCGTTATGTCCAGCAGTTGAAGGTCCTTGAAGCTGTTTGTATTCGTACGCGTAAGCCCGATTTGTGTAAGCAAAAAGAACATGTTTTAGCACTTAGGTTATTTTCGTGAGTTTGCACCCCGTGTTCATGAGTTGTTTCTGCACTGTTCATGCCCATTTGTCACACTTACTCTTTATCTTAGTTCTCACTTTTTGTAATACTTACCACAAGTTACCCGTCATGTGTCATACTTCTTTGGATTTTTAACCTTTGTTTTTCCCTTGATCACTTTAGTTCCGTATTTCCACTGATGATCGGAGCTTGAAAATCGATTTTGGAAACACACAAAACCAAACCTTGAACAAATTGTCATGTTGCGTGGTGATGTCTGCGGCATTCATACTTTTCATAGCTATTATTAACTCAAAATAATTTGGCAATGAAAATTACAAAAGAAATCAACTAATGATTAGAAGAAGTCATGTTTTCTCCTTTCCATGTTGATCTCTAGCATGCATGGTCATCTTGGTATGGGGATATTCATGTATTTTGTTGTACTAATGGCCACTTGCAAGTACGAAAAGGCACAATTTCCGAAGTTTGAGGCTCCATAAGTGCAACAAAGTGAATATGTATCCCCGCGTGCCAAAGCATAATATGAGGATTTTGCGAGCATAATCCGAGAATCCATGAAAGCATAATTCCATGATTTCGCGAGCATAATCCGCCGGAGCCTAGTGACCAGGTGACATAATACAGTAGGTATCGGTTATAGCGTGGGTGTTTGAAAAACGACATTTGATTCTTATTCCCGATATTTCTTACACACGATAAATCACGTGTGACGTATCATATGCACGTGTGACATATCATATGCGCGCACGTTTGGCATGTGGACACGTACACATGATACACACGGATCAATCAGACTCGCGGTCGTGCTAGGCGACTGCGGAGCAGCGGATACGAGAGAAGTCGGAAGAAAGAGTCCGACTGGACAGAAAAAGTGATTCTCCAATGCTCCCTTGGGCATAACTCTTTTTGTGTTGAATATTATTGTATTGAGTATGCACAGAGAACAGATGTTATTACTACAGGCGATACCCTTTGCACTAATCTGGCATATTTTGCTACACAAAATCCATTCTTAGGGCCGATATATTCCACTATGCGATAATACTGCTTGTAAGAATAAATATACACATAAAATATGTGTTATGATTATGAAAAAATGAGTGTTCATTCTTGTAAGCAGTATATTCTTGTATACGACCACACTATAACCGATACGCACTGTACTAATAATAATTATATCCGGTCATGGCATACCCTTTGTGGTTCCCTCGTGACACAGATCACTGTTCAGTCTTCACGTGCAGTGCAGTGCACGGTCGGTGTTTATGCCTATGCACAGCAAGGTGCCTTGTGGCTGTAACCATTTTTTTGGGACGGCTTGTCCTGTGCGAAACTACTTAGCCTTGGCTTAGGTGCCTGAGCAGAGCAGGGAGGTTCTGAATACATCAGTGCTCTGCCACTGGGCCAGTAGGCGACGACGTGAGACACTCAGCTAACGCTTGTGTGAACAAAACTTCTCGCGAAAGGCAAACCATTCCAGCATAAAATATCAGGTCTGAAACCAGGAACCAGGTCACTCGTTCGGACGGACGGGTGGTTGATACTCCCTATACCCCCCTAGCTGTTGCTGTTAGCACCGAGGACTGTTTGTAGAAAGCTGCGAATAGATCCATTGGTGGCTTGGTGGTCTCTATATAAGGCCTCGATTTACGAACGATTGGTCGTGATACGATACTCGTCGATAGACCTAGGCGGTGAGTTGGACCACATCGATCGGGGCCAGCATGTCGCTTCAGGCGAGTGCTCCCGTCCCTTTTGTTAGCGGAGCTGGAGCGTGAAGTGTCTTTTTCAGTTTCATTGCGTTAGCAGATGCATGGCGATGGTTGAACGACCATGTACCGAGCAATGCCGGATTAGTGGGTTTTGCGAAAGCCATTCTTCATCTACTACTACTCCTAGTGTCATTCATCAAGGAAGAAGACCACCGGTATCTCTCCGCTAAAACTCACCTTCTCTGGCGTTTTTTTCTTGATTTCCTTTGTGTTGGTCTGTGTGTTTGTTAGGCAGCAGGCTGGACTGTGGTCACCTGTAGATTGCCGCCCTAAACCATGGACACGTCAGCGACTGATCAGGTTTGGACATTATTTCAGGAAGCTTAGGAGCGGTTTGGGACATTCCAAAATTGGGCCATTCTTGCCCTAGTACAGGATGTACTCAGTAGTAGACAATGAGAAATTCACCCTGCATGCAACTACGTGCAGACTAGACTTTGCTGACCAGACCCCAGCACCACAAATCGCTACTGCGGTCTGCGTTCCTAACGAGCTCTGAAGTTCTTCACCCTACCGCCTTAGAACAATTCATTCCCTGACAAGCAAGTATTGGTAATTTTGTTACCCCCCCCCCCCCTCCGGAGTGTATAGAAGCATTCTCTGTGTGTGCATGCGCGCGTGTGTGCGCATGCATGCACATGTGTGCGCATGCATGCACATGTGTGTGTTTGCATTAGGGGTGTGCGGATAATGCTCGAAAAGGTGGCAGATTCTGCTCGAAAAGCAGTGAAATTGGCAGAACCACACAAACCTTATGGCGGGCAATTCCTCGAATTCTGCTCCATTTCTTTATCCACATACCAAACATGCATGAAACTTACCAGAAAAAGTACCGAATTCTGCCAATTTTTCTGCCGGCATTATCCGCATGTACCTAGTTCGCATGTATTTGTGTGTGAATGACACGTGTCTGCGGAAGTATGTGTGTGCATGCTTACGTGTGCGTATGTGTGTACATAATAATTATATAATTATGTGTGTGTGTGTGTGTGTGTGTGTGTGTGTGTGTGTGTGTGTGTGTGTGTGTGTGTATGCGTGAGTATGCGTGTGTATGGGCTGCCTGGTCATGCATTGTGCACCAAACATGTATGTTTGTATGACGGTTTTCCTTGTGAGCAGGCGAATGACTCAAGCAGTAGCAATAACAGTGCTGAGCTCAATGCGGACTCCATCTTTGTAGATGTGAGTGCCCACACAGACAAGGTCACGCCAAAGAAACGAAAACCCATATGGCCACTCAGTAGATGTAAGTTGTGATTATGTGGGCTAGCATCAGATGCGTACTCACTCGATGTATGTATGCGTACAGGGTGCAGGCAGGCGTGTAGATGTGTGTGTGTGTGTGTGTGTGTGTGTGTGTGTGTGTGTGTGTGTGTGTGTGCGTGTGCGTGCGTGCGTGCGTGTGTGCTTGTGTGTGTGTGTGTGGTGTGTGTGGGGGGGGGGGGGGGAGGGAGGGGGAGGGGTAGCTAGATGAAGTCAACACTGTGTGGCTTTCATGACTACTAACTTGGTCCTTGCAGGTGAAAGTGTATTTTTGAAGTGTGGTCTGGTTCATCTGTGAAATGATCCATTTCTGAGCAGTTTGTGAGGGCATAATTATATCATCTCTTATTGCAACCGGTTGTCAGCTGAGCACAAGCTTGTATTTCCTTTCCAAACCCTGCAGTTCTGCACGGAAAGCCGGACAGCAGCACAGCATATGAGTATCATGTGGATGACGACAGTGATTTTCCCTTGAAGGAATACACGCGGAATGGCGGGGGTCATACCGGCAATGGTGGCACATCCAACGGGCATATCGGTCAGCAGAAACAGAAGTGTAAGGGAAGCTCTGACGTACTGATTCACTTAGTCCTTATGTGACTATACATGTACATGACTATTAAGGAACATTATTTTTTGTTCTGTCCAGCTCAGAGTGTATCACCTGTGTGTGTGTGTGTGTGTGTGTGTGTGTGTGTGTGTGTGTATGTGTGTGTGTGTGTGTGTGTGTGTGTGTGTGTGTGCGTGTGCGTGTGTGCGTGTGTGTGCGTGTGCATGTGTGCACATGTGTGTTTATGTGTGAGAGTATCGTTGCCATGGTATTGGAACAACAGCCAGCAGTGTGCACAGACCTAACACATTAAGGTGACGAACATTCACCTGCTAACCCCGGGCGTCGCAGCCAAACGTGCCAAGCAGATCTTGAGTTCTTTTGTCCTATGTGTCTGTGCTTGCCCAATTCTAGTCGAGCAGACGGATGAAGCGGACACGCCGGCTCATCATTCTGGCATTGACTGGCGGGAGCGCAAAGCCATGGCGCTGAAGTTCACCTATACGTATGTGTACCTGGCGGCATGTCACGGCATTGCGCGGGCTATGCAGAACAAGGCCTCGGTGGCACGGCGTCTGTTCTGGCTGCTTGCATTCTCCGGTGCCGTCTCTATGTTCTTCTATCAGATCTCCTTGCTTGTCAAACAGTTCACGGATTATGAATTTCAGGTATGGAGAGTTACAATTGGCTGCATGATTTGTACCTTATCCGTATCAACACACCCTTCAGTGCACACTGAATGGACTTTGGAGTATTTCATGTATTGATGGTAGTGTCGTACCAGGGGGAGTGGACACGTTATGGTCACTGCTCTTTCCCCACGTGCCCCATGTATTAATAGAATGCAATGGTTTTGGCTCTCAGCGTCTGTCGTGAATCGCGAGATCACTCTACTTGACTCCTTATTTGTACATGGTTGTGTATCGTGCGCTTAGCTCTGCTATGTACACTGTATTTAACGTTACTGTACACTGTGTTTTCCCTTTGGGGTTGCATACTCCGAATTGGGACAGCATCGTACATGAAATTTTTCTGTAGTTTTCATATTTGGTTATAGTGTACTTGCAATGGTGCTGCCATTGTATTTTTCTTGAAAGCAAGAGCTCTTTCCGGTTGCTGAAGGACTTCTTATTATTGACCTTATTACTCGAATAGTACCTCACTTGCAGTCTTGACCAGAGTCGAGCTACATCAACTGTAGATCTTGTGTATTTTAAGCCTAACTGAAGTATAGTTTGGCCAGTGGCACACAACAGCGTCAGAAAAATTACAAAGAGGTCCGGGAGGAATAGTTCACATGGTCAATCGTACCACCTTGGAGTTCCAATGCCCCTGCATATTGAATTGCTGATAGCTCTAGCTGCAGTCAATGCCACGGCATTGGGGCATTAAAAAACTGTGCACGAAGTTACACCTTTTCACCTTGTTCATTGGCACTCTAGATGCGTGTGTGTGTGTGTGTGTGTGTGTGTGTGTATGTACGGTGGGTGTGTAAAATCCAACACAACTTTACATAACGACTGGGTACGGCCAGCTGTGCATGTGCATGTAACAGCAGTCTTCCTGATATAACTTGAATCATGTAGAGGTTTTGTTTGCCTCTGCTCCATAAACCCAGGTTGACGTGGAGTTCAGCTTCAATCGGCAGCTGGCATTTCCGGCCGTAACGTTCTGCAACCTGAATCCAATGAATGTCAAGTTACTGAATTGTTCTCGATTCCACGACGAATGTCTTCAACTTCCAGGTAACACAGCTGCAAGTACGTTCGCATCCTTTAGTACATTACTGAGGAGCACTACGCCAAAAGCAGAGCGCTGTGGAAACATGTGTAATCGTTAGGGAACTATATAAATAAGCGAGCTTCAACATCGGAGCAAAATGCTGCTTGGATCTAAGAGTTTGACGCGCCTTTTATGAATACACGTGTATATTCTCTGGTTGTACCTACCCATGCTCTCTGCGTGCATAGGTGCAAATCAAAGTGCTGGTGGACAGCTCATCAAGACTGACGATGCTATAGGCTACGCGCACGAGTACAATTTCTCTGGAGACCCTATCACGAGGGCGGAGTACCTTCAGTATGGATTCCTTCCAGAGGACATGGTCATAACGTGTACCTGGAATGGAGAGCCGTGTTCTGCCAGGTATGCAGCACGTTGCATGTTGACTGCAGATATGGCTATGTTATCAAGACTTGCTCCACACCTGTCAATATGACTACATGCAAGTACAATCAAGCACGTTGTGCAAGATCCGATATGCCACGAATGTATGGGACCTGGTTCTAAAGACCACCTGGCTTTAACAAATGCTTTTTTCTTATTTCTACGCAGTTCGGTAGTTTTTCCCACGCATATAGCATTACATGGGTATGCTCTTGCAAATGGTTATGCTCCCCCCACCCACCCGAGCTGAAAGTATTGATCAGACCTACTCTACCAAGAATGCAAAGTTGATGATAGCGTCGTAAAGTACCCAACCTTGTTGCCATCTTGACCAAAGCAGTCATATGTACACATGTCCGCCAGCATCAAGACAATTATCTCCGGTTGGCAGAGTGCATCTTGTGAAGTGGGACAGTCTGGCTTCAGTGCATGAACTGTTTACTTTCGCCGGTGACATTGCATTCAACAAATAGCAATGTCCAAAATCTCGAGGCTTACCTGGCTGGTCTTGTAGATGACAGTAGAGTCAGCCATGACGGCAACTGGGAAAGAATTACTGTGAAGCGTGAAATTTTCGCGGCGTTTTTAGTTCGCGTTTTCAGAATCCAGACAGGTTTGCGAGGTTTTACTTTTGCGATTGCAGAATGGCATTCTTGCTAAACCTGTGGCATTCTTGCTAAACCTATCATGGATCTCCTTTTCGCGCTGTCTAAATTTCGCGATTTCCACGCGGTCGCGAATTTCGCAGAAATTAGACCATCGCAATAATTTCATGGTTTACAGTATGCAGCACTACAGGCGTTTTCGTTTCATGTAAAAAAATCGATAATCACGGACGGCTCGTAGTCTTCAGAGTGCGGAGTCGAATGGTTTTGGTCCGAGGCAGCTGAGACGCTCCCTCCTCTATACCCAATCGAAGTAGCGCACTGCCACCGAAACTGGGTGACTGCGCCCTACTAGATTGGGATTTATATGCAAAACGTCACTAAAAGCGCCATTTAGTTCTTAAAAAAAAGCACGGATGAACGAGATTCGAGACCATACCTCCCCTTTAACACCGGCACCAGAACGGAGTCAACATAAACATGGAATGAGAAAGATATCAAAGCCTCAATAGAGGTGTGCTAACAGTAACACCACACTCGGCTCTGAGGTGACTTTGTTCTTGTTTGTCCGTCTCCGTGCAGGAACTTTACCATCTCCCAGAATCCTTTCTATGGGAACTGCTTTACATTGAATGGTGACCCGAAAAACCCATTACAAACGAACTACCCGGGACGCGAAGCTGGTAAGCACATTATGCTGGCAGCAGCTGCCTTTACCGTTCCAAAACACTGTCATAGCAGAACCAAAAGGGAGCTCAAGGGAGAGAGGGTGTCTCTCCTCACATGCAGTCATGCAAGGAGTGCATGTGGTGCAAATGTGAGATTCACACCTTTCTAGGAGTTGAGTTTGAATTATAATCATTGTGCGATGATCTTTCTTATTTTTGCCATATTCCTAGCCAGCCAGCCGTCTTGCTCCAGACAATGCATACTCTAGTTCTTGCACAAGAATAAGGACAACTAACTTGACGAATGCTACTGCTACTTCAAGTTTCATGCACTCCAGTAATTAACAGGCAGAGGCATTGAGAGATAGGGACTGTGTGTGTGGTGTGTGTGGTGTGTGTGCTGTGTGTGCAGATAGTGACTGTGTGCAGATAGTGACTGTGTGCAGATAGTGACTGTGTGCAGATAGTGACTGTGTGCAGATAGTGACTGTGTGCAGATAGTGACTGTGTGCAGATAGTGACTGTGTGCAGATAGTGAGTGTGTGCAGATAGTGAGTGTGTGCAGATAGGGACTGTGTGCAGATAGTGAGTGTGTGCAGATAGTGAGTGTGTGCAGATAGGGACTGTGTGCAGATAGTGAGTGTGTGCAGATAGGGACTGTGTGCAGATAGTGAGTGTGTGCAGATAGTGAGTGTGTGCAGATAGTGAGTGTGTGCAGATAGTGAGTGTGTGCAGATAGTGAGTGTGTGCAGATAGTGAGTGTGTGCAGATAGTGAGTGTGTGCAGATAGTGAGTGTGTGCAGATAGTGAGTGTGTGCAGATAGTGAGTGTGTGCAGATAGTGAGTGTGTGCAGATAGTGAGTGTGTGCAGATAGTGAGTGTGTGCAGATAGTGAGTGTGTGCAGATAGTGAGTGTGTGCAGATAGTGAGTGTGTGCAGATAGTGAGTGTGTGCAGATAGTGAGTGTGTGCAGATAGTGAGTGTGTGCAGATAGTGAGTGTGTGCAGATAGTGAGTGTGTGCAGATAGTGACTGTGTGCAGATAGGGCACTGTAGAGGTTTTCTATAATTCTTGCATAACCGCGCTGTTGCTGTTGCTGTTGCTGTTGCTGTGGCTGTCGCTGTCGCTGTTGCTGTTGCTGCTGTCATGTTAAACTCTTCCCTAGGCTTGGCACTAGAGCTCTATATGAATCCGGATGAAGGAATTGGAGGGGAGACGTCCACTTCCAGCGGAGTGCGCATGTCGTTGCATCAGCCAGGTGTCAAGCCGTTCCCGGACGAGGATGGCTTCAGCCTGGCAACTGGTGAAGCCACCTTTATTGGTGTCCGTCAGGTAAGGACATGCAGATGTGGCAGTGGAGACCTGTACACAATCAATGTGATACTGATGGTGTTTTGGCAGTGGAGACCTGTGCACAATCAATGTGATGCCGATGGCGGTGCGTCTTGCCAACCTATTGAGCACTCCCAACACTGGAGCAGTAATGCATATGATAATGTGGTGGCAAACCATCAAGTTTGTTTCTTCACTCTGAGCTATCTGATACACAGTAAAACCTGGTTTAAACAACCACCCCACGGTGCAAGCAAAAGTGGCCGTTAAAGCCAGGTGGTCTTTAGAACCAGGTCCCACAGTGTCTGTGTAGAACTGTCGGTGCATGGAAAAACGGTCATTAAGAGCAGGTGGTCGCTAAACCCAGAGGTCGCTTACACCAGGTTTTACTGTATCTGGTACACCGGGCAAGAGGAGAGAGAGAGAGAGAGAGAGAGAGAGAGAGAGAGAGAGAGAGAGAGAGAGAGAGAGAGAGAGAGAGAGAGAGAGAGAGAGAGAGAGGAAAGAGAGGGAGAGAGGGAGGGAGAGGGAGAGGGAGAAGGCAGGACAAGCGCACTGCCACAACAAGGTTGAACCACCTGTAGTACATACTCTTTGGCGTGTTTCCTGCCCCACAGCTTGAAGTCAGCCGTCTTGGCTCTCCATACAGCAACTGCACTCAAGAGAATGATAATTGGAAATCTCTCTATCCAGGATACAGCTACTCGAGAACGGTAAGCAAGGACTTTGATCCTCACTATCTACAGTCAACTTCACCGATAACGACTGCGGATACAACAACAATTCGCAAATAATGACAGAATTTCCATGCCCAGAGCAAAGTCCCATATAACTGTAATACATATAATGAGATTTCGGGTATAAGGACACTTCGCGAATAAGGACACCTTTCTGATGCCCCGCCAAGTGTCATTATACGCAACGTTGACTGTAGATGCTCTTCTCACGAAGTGTGCATGCATCAATAACTGTGCTGCAAATAAGAATCAACCGGCTCTGCTCGGTAGACTGCTCAATGTTCATGCAAACAGAGATATCTTACACACAAGTCACCGTGGCAGAGCACCATGCATCTACGTTGACACTAATAGTTTCATGTCCCTGGACGTTAACCAGACAACTGATAATACTTGAGCAACTAAGATCCAATTATGTGATTTAACGGACACAACGACACAACGATGTATGTGCATGTACAGTAAAAGTCCCCGGATCCGGGCAGGTTGGAACCGACCCGGATCCGGGCAGGTTGGAACCGACCCGGATCCGGGCAGGTTGGAACCGACCACTGCCTGTAGCTACAGTAAAACTCCCCGGATCCGGGCAGGTTGGAACCGACCACTGCCTGTAGCTAGAATTTCCCCTAACTCAGAACATGCATACCTACTGGCATGCATTATGCCAATCAGTGGTTTTGGGGGACGTTACCACGGTTCGTTGAAAAGCCAATTCGGGTGACTGTAGATGGGTCTTGAAAGGTGCCCTGTAGACGCACGTGCAAGGATTAGGGACGTGCCCGGGTCTGAGAGTTTTACTGTATGCAAAAGTGAGGAATTCCAAGTGTGGATCGGGCGAGCTAAGCGAGAGGTATTTTAAAGTCACGCCTTCAATAGTGTATTTACTGAGCAGAAACTTCGCAGTAAGGCGACACTTTGACTCTTTGGCACAATCTCTGTGCGCTTGTTGAGGGAGGTGATGCAGTCTGATGCGAGGGTGGGGTACTTCCGGCTGTACAGAAGTGGAAGAGATTTGTGGTGCTGGAGCAGGCATTCTTAACCGCCCAGCAAATCTCTTAGCTTCTATTCTGACGCTTAACCTAGAGCTCATGCCCCTTAGTGAGGTCATCAACCGTTATGTGGTGGGTACGCATTATTTTAAACACTAGGGCCAATATCCCTGTGCACTTTCACGGTGCTGCTCGACTTGATGCCTGCTGCGTACACAATGTTAGTGACCCTGCATGTACCATTTAGCTGGCACGATGCTACAAAATCCAATGCATCGACTGAGAAGGAGCTCTCTTGTGATGGACAGGCAAAATTTTACTGCATCACATGCCAGACAGGAGTGTCGTTCCTTCTGTTCTATGCCCGGCTTGAACCAGTTGATTACATCAGCCTTGATTCTCCATTGCCTTGCCTCTATCGCACTGCGGAGTGTATTGATGATGTCCCGAAGCACACACATCTCAATGTATGACAGTTCTGCTCTCTGGTACTTAGTACGCTGTGCTGTCGGTGCGGGCTCTTGTTGTAGGCGTGCGTGCAGTCCTGCCTGGCCCAGGAGATGTTTGACCGATGTGGCTGTGTGGAGATCTTCCTGGTCGACAAGCCTATCTGCAATAATGCCAACGTCAACAAAGAGCAAGGTATGAGCACATATAAAGATACACTGTCCTGCCTGACTACTGCCGGGATTACTGAATTACACTGCCCTGTCTGACTACTGAATTACTGAATTTAATACACTGCCCTGTCTGACTACTGAATTTAATACACTGCCCTGTCTGACTACTGAATTACCGAAGTACACCCAGTGATTCCAGGGTCGTCATATACGGTACGACCAGTAGGGCCATGGTCGTATCAGTTTTCATCCAGGGTGGTCCGCCCAATTCATCCTAAGAGTGTAATAAAAGAGCGCTAAAACATGCCCTCTTGGTCGAAAAATCCGATTTCTCTTTCCCCGGGCGTCACCCCTTGGACCCCCGGTCGTACCACTTCTCACTGCCCTGTGACGCCCCTGGATACTGAGTGTGTATGAAGAGCTCCAGTTCTGAGCAGGGTGTGTGTGTGGGGGGGGGGGGGGGAGGGGCTGCACTGACTTCAGTTTACCGTATTTTCCGGGGTGTTAACTGCACTTTAAAAAAGGCATGAAAACTCAAGGATTGCCCCTGCGGCTTAGACTCTGAATGCTGGCTGCGAATCGAGCGGCGTCACAGCACTTTTCGCATACAAAGCATGTATGGTGTCATTCAGCTTCTTTCCATGTCCTGCAATCCATCATTGTGTTGTAGTACGTTATTTTGTGTACGTCGTGTGTACGTCATGTTGGTGCATGCGCGTGTTGCTGTGGTATGAAAAGCTGTCTTCGTCTTGAGAGTTCATGCTGTCTTCGTCTTGAGTTCGTCATGTCTAGTTGTGTTTCTTCGTCGTGTCAATAAACAGTCTTCTCAATGTAGTTATCGCCGTCCCTTTGTATAAGTGTGGAGATGGCACGGGACTGGGAGCAGGTAGAGAAAAGCGAGTTACAACATTGGTGGCAGCGGTGGGATTCGAACCCACGCCTCCGGAGAGACTGGACAACAATTGTACTTTAGCTAAGCTTCTACAAGTACCTGTCGTCAGCTCTGAGTGAAGGACAAACTAGGCATTTTTTGCAGAATTTGAGGAATGTCCACAAAAATATGAATCTGGGGCCCAGAGGGAAGGGGGGGGGAGGGAGGGAGGGAGGGAGAGCGATGAGGCTTAGACCCAGTTGTGGCTAACATACCGGAAATTACAGTACTTTTAGTAATTTAGCGGAAAAGTTGCACCTTGAGATTCCTGCGGCATGATCATCATACATGCACTGTATATGTATGCTACTAGTACTTGGTAGTAAGAGTACAGTCATGTACATGAAGTCATGAACCAAAGGCTTTATTAAAAAAAGTGTTCTGAATAGTTTCCACGTGCACCATGGCAGAGTGTTCATTATGGTGGAAAGTCACTGGTAACCCCCCTGGACGCTACCCTGCGTACACGCCTGGACACCAATGGAGGATGACACTCTGTCTTCTCCTTGAAACACAATGACATTAATATTTTTGTGAATGTGCTTTGCGTGTTGTTTCGACGTGTTTCAGCTGACTGTGCTGCGGGTGTGAGGCGTGACTATCGGCTGGACAGGCTCAACTGTGATCTATGTTACAACCCATGTGTGTAAGTCGGTACCCGGATGTTGTTCTCCAGTGTCATGTTATTTATAACCCCCAAGAGTGTGCCACTACCTGTGCTACCTCTGTCCAGCGCTGTGACAGCAGAAGTTCACGTCGCGTGACATAGTCAAATAGGTTACGCTGCCAAACACTGAGCGAAGACTTTAATTGACCACCAAGGAGTTGTACCCAAAGCAGGGTTGCGCACAGCCCTCTAACTATCATTATCAGGGTGCAGATAATCACGGTACACAGGCTTGTCACGTGATGTGAAGTTCTGCCGTCGCAGACCCCATAGGCTGAAGCTGCACTCTCTTTGGGACTATGCACTCTTGCTGCCACGCAGCTATTCACTAAAGGTTGCCAATCTGTCTCTCGCACAGATACTGTGCAATTTACCTGTGTTTCTGTTCATCCTTGGCAACAACGTCCATGTCCAGTATACTCTCTTCTTTCTTTTGTTAACAAGATGGAAGATACACAACTCACCGGCAGGCACATGGGGCCAGCATGGGGTCAGCATGGGGTCAGCATGGGGCCAGCATTGGGTCAGCATGGGGCCAGCATGGGGCCAGCATGGGGTGAGATGGTGCTGGTGGGGCTGGTGGGGTGCTGGTGGGGCCTGCCATGTAAAGAATATTCGATATTCAATTCATCTCGCTGGGGGCCTTGGCGAGCCATCGGTGCCGCCATAAAAAAAAAATTCCACGGTTCGTGTGAGACTCGGCTGGAAGCCGAGTTTTCCGCATCCGCCGTGGGAACGCCACCACCCTCTAGGATCCGCCATGATCAATCTCAATTTCTCAGCCAGCCTCGGAAGCAGCAGCAGCAACAACTACGGAGACAAGCCGCTGAACGGTTTGAGACAGGCCAGGCTTGACATGCCTCGTTGGCCAGCGCACCTTCACGTCCATCAGTGGTAGGACTCCAGCGGCGGATCCAGAGTTCAGCTGAGGGGAGGGCGCAGGTAATATTCATGACAGGGAACCCATGCGGTACATGTATTTTGTACACATTACGACATAGCGGCCATTTTACGTCTCAGGCTTACCGTAATTCTGCGCGTATAAACCCACGGGCATATCCGGATATAAGCCCACCTCCGTTTATAAGCCCATGGGCTTATAAACAAACACAAATGCAACTCGCGTGTCAACAAGAATTTTTCACAATGTAGACTCTTCCTACCAAGGTACAGCAGGTCAGTGCAGTTTACCAGTAGAGTATGGTAGACCCACTATGAGCACGGACTTGTACTTTTTCGTGAACCTTCAAAATTCGCCATATTGGCCCATGGGCTAGAAAACGAACATGTTTTACTGGATATTTTATCCCCAAACTGCATTATTTCACATATAAGCCCATGGCATGGGCTTATATGCGCGGAACAACGGTAGCGATTATGTAGAATTACTATTTTAGCACATGCACTCACTCCCACTTTTTCAACCACTTCATTGAGGACTCTGGCTGTAGTAGAACATAGCCGTACTACATTGAGCTGTGTAAAGATAGTGCTTCAAAGCTAAAGACATGCTGAGATAGAGAACAATAATGCTGTGTAGCAGTGCCACCAGCCACATCATTCGTGACAGTCACAACGTCGTCATCTGCGAGAGTTTCAACAGGTAAACGCTCCTGACTCGCATCACTACTACTGACAGTCCCACCATCGTCGTCAGAATCTACGTCAGATTCCATTTGGGGAAGATCAGAGTCTGAGCAGACCTCAATCTCAGGACCTTCACTGTGGTCCGAATTCTCCTCCAAAGACGGGTCGCTCGACTGAGCAGCTGACGAAGCGCAAGTTCGCTTCGCGAAAAATCCGTGGAGAGTTTGTTGGCTCCCTGGCCGCTTGGGCGGGCGGTGCGCCATCCCCTTCACCGACTTAGTTATACAAGTTCGGCAACTGAACACTAATTTCAAAACTAAAAGTCAAACAACTACTCCGTGTTCAGAAGAACTTTCTTATCTGACACTAGAAACTACTTGTCACAGTATGTGCAAACACTTTTTTAAATGTTACTTGCGCAACTGCCCACGTGCATGCACTAAAGAAAATCGAAATATTTGAGGGGAGGGAGCGCGCCCACCGCGCCCTCCCCTAGATCCGCCTCTGGACTCAACACAAATGCAAGCTGACTGATGTTTCATCTACAGCGGCACCACCACTGTGGTGCTCCACATGTCACAGGACCTTCAGCTCGACTAGCAGCCGGACACGCCACCGATGAAGCAGAGAGACAAGCACTATGTTGACCTGTCCCGTGGAGGACTGTGTAGCCAGACTGGGTAGCAGGATCTTGATCTTAATCCTGTATCAACAAGTGGCTGATACAGGATCGGCATGTGGAACAGTGTGTGACTCCTCGCCCGGCAGAGAAGTCGCCAGCGGCACAACTGCGATGCACAATAGCTACCACAGGAATGGACCAACGGACAATGGCGATAATGAGAAGGACTCGGCGATACTCCGTCACCTGACATCGTCACCAGCCTGCCTAAGTGCAGTCTGCAAGCATGGCACACACTCTCACTTCACGATTCAAACGCGTGCGCGCAACAAATCTCACCTTGCTGTGCTGGAGGCAGTGTACATTGCCAAGCTGAAGCCTGAACTGTGCGTGCAAAAGAAGTATGTGCGAAAGTTGTCACTATTTTGACTTTGTAGTACCGTGGTCCCCACTGTTGTCTGATACTGGTAATATTCATTGTAGTACCATGGTCCCCACTGTTGTCTGATACTGGTAATATTCATTGTCTCACTGTGTAGTTGGCGCCACTAGCGCTATCTTTTAAAGTGCTATTTGGTCTATGCTCTGACCGCCAAATATGTTGTTGGCGCCACTAGCGCTATTTTTCAAGTGCTATTTTTGTCAATGCTTTGACCGCCAAAGTGCCGGTTATAAGGACTTGCTTGCTACCTTGTTAATCACCATTGTATTCGACTTGAAGAGTAATGGTACGAAAGGCCTAGTCGAAATTATACGGCTTCTGTGCTTCGTGTGCTGATGTATGTATTTATAATTATGTGTATGTGTGTGTGCACATGTGTGCACGCGTATGTGTTTGCTTGTGTCATGTCATTGATGCCGCAGTGATCGCATCTACCTGCATACTCTCTCTAAGGCTACATGGCCAGCTAAAGCCTACCAGTATTCTTTCCGTGAGACGTTGAAGGAATTAAACTTTTCTGATGGAAATCCCGAGGACTCTAATGCTGAAGAAATCTACAGGTGAGTTTGCTGGTTGGCAATATCTAAGTGAGTAGAGGGTGGTCTGAATGGCAATATCTAAGTGAGTAGAGGGTGGTCTGAATGGCAATATCTAAGTGAGTAGAGGGTCTGAATGGCAATATCTAAGTGAGTAGAGGGTCTGAATGGCAATATCTAAGTGAGTAGAGGGTGGTCTGAATGGCAACTGATATCTAAGTGAGTAGAGGGTGGTCTGAATGGCAATATCTAAGTGAGTAGAGGGTCTGAATGGCAATATCTAAGTGAGTAGAGGGTGGTCTGAATGGCAACTGATATCTAAGTGAGTAGAGGGTGGTCTGAATGGCAATATCTAAGTGAGTAGAGGGTCTGAATGGCAATATCTAAGTGAGTAGAGGGTGGTCTGAATGGCAATATCTAAGTGAGTAGAGGGTCTGAATGGCAATATCTAAGTGAGTAGAGGGTGCCGGTCTGAATGAGCCAATGAACAATGTGTTCACCCTGTACATGTACAAGATTTGAAACTGTACATTGTATCAGTCTAGCCGGACCTCACACTAGTAGCAAGTACTGTACTGATTACCTTCGCTGGGGGCAGGGGTAAGTGCAGTTGGATCCTGGGACGGATACCTCGATGCCGACAATCCTTTCTCAGCACCTTGTCCTCACCCACTTACTGAGGTGTGGTGAGCCCATAAGTGGGATCATTCCAAGTCCACCCAGAGTTTGGGGATTTCAGGGTGTGTTGGCTGTTGGGCAGGCTCAATAGCCAATTGAGGCATCTTTCTAAGATTCCTTTTGAATCTCCTTCCAGGGGAGACACGCGTAACCAGTTTCTGGCGTGAGCAAGTACAAGTGGTCTAGATTTCTGTGTGTGACCTGTATGTGTGAATACAAGTGTGCACATGTGTGTGTGTGTATGTGTATATGTGTATATGTGTGTGTGTGTGTGTGTGTGTGTGTGTGTGTGTGTATGTGTGTGTATGTATGTGTGTATGTGTGTGTATGTGTGTGTGTGTGTGTGTGTGTGTGTGTGTGTGTGTGTGTGTGTGTGTGTGTGTGTGTGTGTGTGTGTGTGTGTGTGTGTGTGTGTGTGTGTGTGTGTGTGTGTGTGTGTGTGTGCATGTGCATGTATGTTTATTTTGTTGACTTGGCTCAACTAGGGAGAAGTTTCTGCGAGCGGTGGTCTACTTTGAGGAATTGAACTACCAGCGGATTGTTCAGAAGCCAGCCTACCCTGTAAGTCCAACCGGACAATCCCAGCTTGGCCACAGCACTGCCACATTGAACTGCCCTGATCCCAAATGGGTATAGGCAAGAGTACACAACCAAGGATGTGCAACCCCTATCTCAAGCTGTGATGGGTTCACCCACTGCGGAAATGTTTGTATTGCATCATTCTTTGGGAGAAATATGAACAAGTGTGCATGATTTCCCTCGCTTGTTTTGTAGATACGGTGAGAGCTCATCAGATGATTCAGGACACATCAATCTATTGTCCGTTGTTCTGCTTTGACTACCGTAGCTGTGATGTACAACTTCTTTGTACTTTGATCTCTGGCTGCTAGGGGTGAACGAACATGGGTTTCTCCTTAACGAACCTTTTTTATCATAACGAACAAACATGCGAATATGTTCTTTAAAGAGTTCAATTGTTTCAAGCACTTTGTTGTTCAAGCTTGCATGGTACACAAGCGATACTGGACCAGTTTTTGGTCGACATCCATCAGCTGCGAAGCTGTAACAATGTAATTGTTCCCAGGTTCGTCATGTTATACATATACTGAAGTAATGCATGCGTAACTAAGTTATGTCATAATTATGGGCAAAGATTGGGGTAGGTGGATGGGATTGGTTAGGGGGGAAGGGATTCAGCATCTGTTGGATTGTATACCAAGCACTCGAGTGCTGCTTCACATGCCTGTTAGTGTAACATGTACCTTTAAAACTAGCCTCGTAAAAATGCTGAACCGATGATTCATTGCAAGTACGACATCTATTCTTCTAATACTATGACATGCTCCAGTCAGAAGATTTTTCGTATTGATTATTTCCTATTTCCTCTGTGCAGGCGGAGAATCTCTTTGCCGACTTTGGTGGGCAGATGGGCTTGTGGGCCGGCCTGTCCTTCCTAGCATTTGTGGAGCTGTTTGATTACGTTGGCCAGGTCCTGCTTATCGCTCTAGGCCTCAAGAAGGTCGTAGTGCTGCCGTAAATCCAGGCTGGCTGTTTCAAGAAAAGAAACGAATAAAGACAGAAGCAAGGACTCCGGTATTTCCTTAATGCTATCCCGTTGTATTTAAAATTAAGCTAACGCTTAATGCTGCAGCCTGCCGTTAGTGGACATTCAAAAGGCGGGTTGAGAACCGTCAAGTGTGCAATAGATGTTAGTATCCATCTTCCAATGTTCGCCTGATGCAGTGATACTGCACATAGAAGCGGTCGAGAATAATAATATGCAAAATATCTTTGCCCGAATGTGTGCAGTGCACATACAGTGCAAGGTGCACTGTCTTTGAGACCAACATTGGATCTACTCTGAGATCACTGTACTAGTACTTGTACCATTATAATACTATTAATTTTTATAATATTCCTATGCAATTTCACACCATAGTCATAGATAGGTCTCTTGAGCACGTGTACATGGAACATGATTGTACTGTGCATGGTCCACTTGATCACTCTACCGTCTTGTGCATGCACAGTGTTTGAGAATGCAACACATACACACACACACACACACACACACACACACACACACACACACACACACACACACACGCACACACACACACACACACATACACACACACACACACACACAGTCAAGAGCATAATTGCCAGCATCCATCTACTACTAATCTTTTTTAAACTTTAAAAAAAATTATTTTACACTTGGAGTGGCCCACGCTGCAATTATGTTTGTGCACATGAATGTGTGTGTGCGTGCGTATGCGCTTGCGCATGTGCGTATGCAGAGGTATGCTCGCAGACCTGGGTGTGTCCCCGTGGGCCTGGGGCTTTTTAAAACTTAAAAAAAATTAGTTTACACGTGGAGTGGCCCACGCTGCATTCACCATGGTTCACTGCCCTGTGATTATTATGCTCTAGCAGTACACTGTGATTATTCTGCTCTAGCAGTACACTTGTCTTACCCACTAGCCTAGTATTGTATTGTTGATACTGCAAGCAGAGTTGCTTGTTCTAACAGTCACCTGAGAATAACGGTATTTCCCAGCCTGGCCATCCTTGCATGGACGGGCTGATGGGCTGATCAGGGTTGGAACTTCCGAAGTTTACCACATGAATTGATATCCGCATACTTTCTGCTCAGGCTGAGTGAAGTGTACCTTTGGCTCAAGCACTCCACACTCTACACTTGTTCTGGTTTTCTCAGACATGCTCTGATCGGGAGTCCGGAGGAGGTGGGGTCTTTGCATTCAGACACGTGCACGCAGACAATCTCACGCCAGAACAAGAGAGAAGAACAACATCGGGTAAGCCGGATACCGTGCGGAAATCCGGTGGGGGACGGGGGGGGGGGAGGGGAGCGGGCCGCGGGGGTTTCCAGGATGTAAGAGACTCGCGTCTAGGCCTAGGACTGCCGCAAGATCACGACACCATGGACACTGTCGATGTTGCAATCGAAGAAATACTCAAATAGACCAAAGAAAACAGTCTAGCAGTAGCAGTAGGAGAGGAGAGGCTTTGGACTTCGGTGATAAGGACCGATGCCCCTGGTCACCATGGTCACCAGGTCACCACTGTTTACACGACTTAAGAAAGTTATGAGTAGATACATACAGAAATACATGTATAGTGGTAGAGACTTCGATGGTGTGGGGAGCAAACACCTTTCCCAGTAGTATCACCATGATGGCATCATTTTCATAAGGTAAGTAACTAAGTTGCAGATCTCCACGTTATCAGGCATGGTGCATTGGTGGTATCTGGTGACCTGGCACAAGGTGGCACTTCTCAAAGTTTGTTGTGTTTCTCAACACGCCGGTGGTAACGCGAATGTGCGTTACATCGCGCGCCTAATGATCTGCTTTGATAGTAGTGACTGCTAATAATTGCCTGGGGTTGACTTTGGATTTTTCTTCAATCATCTTTCCGATCATGGATTTTTCAATAAAGTTCTTTGACATGCCTAGTAGATTTTTGAGCCTCAAAAAGCACACGAGACCATGGCCCATGGCATGGGGACATCTGGCCAGCCGGCTCGGGATACGACGGACACTCTCTCGCCGTCTCGGTCTGCCGTCTACATGGTCTAGACTCGAGATCTCTGCCGCCGCTAGACCAGAGCTAGCTGTCTGTCTACAATGACTTATGTAGGTCTACCGCGTACCGGTAAAGTGTGAAATCTACACAGACTACAGTCACTAATATAAACACGTCATTCGCTACTCGCTCGCGCACTGATCTGCTGTCTGCTGACCCTGTAACGTCATGGTAACCTAGTACTAGTAGATGCTTTACCTGGACGCTTTCCTACGACTCGTACTGACTCGACTGTCCATCGGGCATACAGATACACTGCCACTATAGCCAGTATAGGGCCTACTATCGCTAGCGGGAGTGTGTTAACTGTTGCTTCATTCTTTTCTGTCCAGTTATTTTTATTCGCCTATCAATGTTTCAAGCAGGGCCACCCTGCTTTCAAGTAAGCAGTGGTTGCTTTGTTCGTCGTGCATGGGAAAGAGCAGAGAAGGTTGTTCTCGTACTAAAGTCGTCCTGCCAAGTACAGGTAAGCGAACGAGGTCGCTAGAACTAGAAGCGCTCCGAGTCGGTCATTGACAAGGCTCTTTTTTCCATGTTCATAAAAATTAAAAAAAACCATATTTTGCTCCTTTTTCTTCTTGTGCTACTCATCTGTATCACGTCGTTTGGATATCCCGGGGAATTCTTTGCTTCTGTTGCACTGCAAATCGAAATGTCCCACTGACCGCGTACCAGCCAGTGCGGCTTCAATGTTCCGTACATGTACACCACTGATAGTGAAGATTCTGTCTTACCAAGAATTAGTTGATTAAACCATTATCTATGATAACCAATATGTTCAACTACATGATGTAAATTATGTCAGTAATTTTACAGTCAAACCTCTTTAGGACGAACTTCAAGGGACCGAACAAGTTTGTTTGTCTTATCCGGAGTTCTTCTTATCCAGATCTGACAAAAAGATTGATATGCATATCTTATGGATTGTATTTATGTGACTGAAGGTGCATGCTGTGGCAAATGTAAAACATTTTTTTTCATAACATAACCCAGCAAAAGGTAAATTCAATGTGCAATGAATTCATGACAGCATTACATCCCCCTTGTAACATGCTCTGCCAGTACAAGAGGCCTCGACTATCGGGAAAAAAACTACAGCCTGCGTACCCACGGGGACCAAAAGTTCGTACTAAACGCTGATTTTGTTCAAATCACGCTTGAAATTAGTTCGTATTCACGAAAGTTTGCCGTACAGAGTTCGTCGTAAATGAATAATTTTGACTTGATAATGGGACCTGGCCAACCATAGCATTGGCCCTAGTTCGTACTAAAGGAAAGTTCGCCTTATCAGTGTTCGTCCTAACGAGGTTTGACTGTATGTGGAATGAATATGTCCTGTTCTTGTGTGCACTAGCCTGGCCTCTGTTGGGGTTCAGCTTTGCAAGTGCGATCAGTTCTCCCCGCACTATCAGAGTATCAGTGATAAGTCAGTCTCGATCATGTGGCAATGGTGACCGTCTGAGTAGCAAGCTCAACCATGGAGTTCAGTGGTAAGTCATCAGTGCCAATACGGCAATAGACCCTGCAGATGGAAATCCCTGCTTTACATGCTGTTTGGTGGGTAAAGCATGCAATATGTACTGACCCAGGACCGCCGGAAGCAGTTTTCAATTAGTCCGGTAGTATTGGGGCCTTTCATACAGTTTGTATATCGATATGGTGTTCATACAGTTTGTATATCGATATGGTGGGTACACAGTTTGTATATCGATATGGTGTTCATACAGTTTGTATATCGATATAGTGTTCATACAGTTTGTATATCGATATAGTGTTCATACAGTTTGTATATCGATATGGTGTTCATACAGTTTGTATATCGATATGGTGTTCATACAGTTTGTATATCGATATGGTGTTCATACAGTTTGTATATCGATATGGTGTTCATACAGTTTGTATATCGATATGGTGTTCATACAGTTTGTATATCGATATGGTGTTCATACAGTTTGTATATCGATATAGTGTCCATACAGTTTGTGTATCGATATGGTGTTCATACAGTTTGTATATCGATATAGTGTTCATACAGTTTGTATATCGATATAGTGTTCATACAGTTTGTATATCGATATGGTGGATACACATGCCCTCCATAGTAGTAAACACAAAAAGTTGGTTAAGTTGGTCCGGTGATAACCTGACCAAGCGGACCGGTTCCGGGGGGCCTGTGACCAGCTTTGTGCATCACTGCACACTTCCTTCTTGGCTTCATGCTCTAAGCAAGATGAAATTATCTGTAGCCCAAGGAGACCTCTTCTGTCGGCGCGACACAGGTTGGCTGACTAGGCAATGCAGAATTGTTCTTCGGTGCATTGTCGTGATCTTTCATGCCGTTATGATGCGCGCGCGCGCGCCCACCCACATACACGCGCGCACATACACACATACACACACACACACATGCAGGCATGCATGGGGTGACTGCAGTGTGTGAGTGCATGAGTGTGTGTGGTACCTGTATGGACACACCATACAGTATGATCCCTGTACCTGCATGCTGTTGGAGGATTACCAGGTCCATTACTGCAGCACTAGAGAGCTTACATTTGTTGAAAGGGTGCGAGGGCTTGCTTCATTTGTTCAGCAGCTTCAGCTATGGTTACGGTTGCTGAGGCTATGGCTTTGATCACTTACACTGTGTGCAGTGTTGCTCCCCGTATTTGATTTGGTGTTGCACTCTTCCAGTTGGCACGCATACAACTTGTACTTGCTCTTGCCCAGGGATTCATGCGACTCCCTGCTCTTGCCGCAATATGTGTTGGTATGTGTGTGTATGTATGTGTATGTATGTGTGTGTATGTATGTGTATGTATGTGTGTGTATGTATGTGTGTGTATGTATGTGTATGTATGTGTGTGTATGTGTGTATGTATGTGTATGTATGTATGCGCGTGTATGCGTGTGTGTATGCTGTCATTGTTTACCTGGCAGCTGATCAGAGTCCCTCCGGCCTGGATTACTGGCAGTCATTGCGTGAACGTTCACACCAGAAGGAGGCGTACATTGACTACCTGGAGAATGAGAGGCTGATGCGTATCTATCCACACATTAAGTCACAATATCATTATCAAAGTCATACAGGACGACGTAGGGACAAAGACCCCGTTATGTCCTACGCAAAGGTAAGTGATGCGTGTTGATCCCCAGGGCAGCTGCTGAATTATTATGGCCAGATGCGAGGTGGACCATTGTCTAATGTATGCTGCATTCATGTATATCTCTGTGTGTGTGTGTATGTATGTATGTGTGTGTATGTGTGTGCGTGTGTGTATTGCGGGCACTCAGACTATTGTCGAGTCCCAGGAAATCAGTCGGCAACTGCACTATCGGCCGCCCAAGATGCCCAGACCACGCAACATTGGTTACGACCATGCCCAGTTTGACAAGGAGCAGTGTCGGCGCATGAAAGCCGAGCTGGGTGGTTCAATGCGAGAGCAAGTGTATAGCTTGTCAAGTGATGTCCGTGCAGAGGTTAGTTCACAGTCTTGCTTGTAACAATGCAAACTACATAATTATTAAGTACCGGTAGGCCGAGCTACCTGCCATGGTGCAAAGGAGGCACCACAGACATTAAGATAGCTCGTCGCTCTAGTGCCAGAGTGCTCTAACTACGAAAAGTAGCGGGCAATACGTAATGCAGCAGCACTAGAGCAGCCTACAGAGAGTGCTCAACAAGGCGCATGTCAAGGAGCGTAATACCCAATCATATGCTATCTATTGCTCATCAATGTTGGAAGCCTCATGTTAATGATGTCTAGCAGTACATTGCATTGATAAGAGTAAATGGTTTGAAACTACAGTGTGCTTTTAAGCCACACACCCCACTTTCTTTCACATAACTTGGGACAAAACAGTTCCTCAGTTTGCAACAGTGCTTTTTAATATCTGGGCCTTATTTTGACAATGCAGTTGGGTAAGCGAGTACGGGGGGTTCTGCATTGACAATTCCTCTAATAACGTATGTATGGCGGCTCTGGTTTTTTGGTGTTGGCGGCCGTCGTGAGTTCCCTTCAGGAACGGACATGATAATTCAATTTCTATTTTTGTGGATTTTTAAATTGTTTTGCTGTTGATGTTCAGAAAGCCGCTCAAGAAGTACAGGCTAGTGCACCAGGTGCAGCCAGCGGCATGGCTGTAAATACGTCGGACCAGCATGGGCTCTCAGCCATGCAGCGACAACGTTCTTCCTCCAAACTTCCGCCAATAGCAGGTGACATACCAACAGCACTCACAGCTTCATCGGAGGGCGCCGCCACACTAAGGGAAGCTGCATCCAATAATCCTGCGGTGGTTATTGGAAAGCACAAAAAAAGCCAAGCAAGAGAAGGTTCACTCTCTTTCTTAAAGCCATTAACGTTGGACGAAGTTGTGCAGCAAGAAATGCTTGCAGTCTTGCCAGCTAGGGGCAGTGGTGAATTTCGACATGGAGCAGCACCCGTGTGGAGAAACCCAGGCTTTGGCGGATTATAAACAGTTTTGTTGGTCAAGGACATGAGTACCTTGGAATAGAATGTTTGCATGTATTCGGTCATATTTCCAACTTGTGAGGCTCGCCACGCATTGTTGTGTATCATTTACCTTTTGGCTAAATGTATCTTCTGATCAAACATATGGTGCTGGTTTCCGTCTCGTCAATGTACGCAATGGAAGTGCAGCTGACCCAATCAGAAGAAAATCAATAACCATGATCATGACCCATGATATGTAGTGTGATAGCCACATTTGCTTGATTGCGATATTATTCCAGACGTGCTGCTTGAGGCTCGCTAATATAATACCTGCCTACTGAGATGGCATGAAACTTTAAGTTGTGACTGATCAAGCCATCTGTTGTTCTGACTAGTGTGTCACGGCTCTACCTTCCCGGTATCGAGCTCTCTTGGATTTCTGCTGGAATTCACAACAGTGTGTAATACCTGCCTATGTACGTGTTGACTTGAATGCTTAGAAAATACATTTCTACTTTTTTAGACTCGGATGGAGAGCCTAGGGTTAATTTATAAGAAACTTGTGAAGTACACATGTTAACTGGTGGTGTTAGTGGATATTATAGTGTCTCCTTATTTTCTTATGCCTGCTAATAATTATAATAATAATGTCATTATTCAGTACAGTATGTGGACTAGTTGTGAATGGTTCTAGTACTGTTTTGTACTCGAAGACTACCTACAAAATTAAAAGTAATAAATTTAAAAGCCTGCGCAGAGCAGGCAATGAGCAATGACGCTGTGTGCCCATTATTCATCCCAGGACACAGGGTATTCTGTGTACCACCATCTTATTCTACCATTTCACCTACAAGTCCCTGGCATGAAGGCCATGGATAGCACTATCCTTCCATCTTCTTTGTTTCTAACCATACACACGATGAAACGATAGCAGAGAGCCGTGCAGGATCTGCTCCGGAAAACAGATATCCTGCAGCCACCTAGGGGCTACTAGTATGTGCCATTCCAGTCGGTGAAGCTCAATCTAATGCCCATAGGCTCTAGGCTATGCTGCCGATATCACTAGGCTATGCTGGGGATATCGCTAGGCTACGCTGGGGATATAGCTAGGCTATGCTGGGGATATAGCTAGGCTATGCTGGGGATATAGCTAGGCTATGCTGGGGATATAGCTCTAGGCTATGCTGGGGATATAGCTCTAGGCTATGCTGGGGATATAGCTTCATGGGCTCTAGGCTATGCTGGGGATATCTATTATTTACTACGACATACATAGCTCATTATCCACATGTCGATATGTCCTTTGCGTCTCTGTGTTTTTCACTGTTTTTTTTTGACATTATCTTTCTTTACGGAGTTGTTGTTGCTGTTCGTTTTTGCTACTCTTTCTTTTTCCCTCCCCTTAATGGCCTTATTTCTATTTATCGCCGTGGTTGGCAATCACCCACTCTCGTAACATTGACCGGTGTTTCCGCCGAGTCTTGAGATGTTGTAATAAATAATAAAATAATAATAATATCTGGGGATATAGCTTCGCTCTCGTCCTCAGGGCCGCGTCAACAGCTCAATGTTGGAAATATGCATCTTCCTGCACTAATCATGTGCAATGCTTATAATTGAGCGAACACAACACACGTAAAACGCTGAAGGTTTCTGGAGGACATGCTGTGGCGGCAGCCAGCACTCCTGTGTGCTTTCTTCCGGTCTATAAAGCTGAGGAAACACTTGGACTGGCGTTCTGCTATTGACTTCCCCATAGGGTGTTTGGTCAGTGCTGGAGCAGCAATATCGTCAGCAGAGATCGCACTGCAATGTTGGAAAGACATCTTCTGCAAACAACTGTAGCCGAGTCTGTACAGTGCTGGCCAAGACCTTGCCAATAACCTCAAGCAGTACGACACCCTGCGAATTGTTGCACCTGGAGAGACCACCATTCTTCGGTATTAGGACGAGAGTCAATATAGAACGCGAGTCAAGGGGCTCTGGTGCAGTATCCAATCAGCTTGACCTTTCCAATACTAGTAGTGGTACTTCTTGAAGTACACGATTGAGAATGAGCAACCTTGTAGCTGAAATAGTAGCCAACACCACATGCACATGTACACACGCGCGTGCGCGCACACACACACACACACAACACGTACGCATAAAATGTAATGGAAAATACAACACACACACACACACACACACACACACACACACACACACACACACACACACACACACACACACACACTTGTACATGACTTAGCACTGCCAATTAACTGGCTATGTGGGTCTCCCCAGGGAAGAGAGGGGGGGGGGGGGTAACAGATGGACTAAGATGCACACCGTACACGTAAGGCAGACTGCGTGTATGATAGAGGGTGAAATTCGCACACAAGGTCTAGCCACGCAGGATGTGGCACCTGATTCCACACACTGTGTGTGGGGAATCACTCACCTAGGCAAGCTCCAGCTTTCCAACTCTTTTCGGTCGTTGGAAAGACTTGTCATTATTCCTGTAGCTATGCAGAAGACGTTATGCTGCTGTTGCCAGTCTGCCAGGCTCTATGCTCGGGTGGCATCGCTGCTCCCCGACAAAAAGCAGGAGCCGTACTCTGCCACAATCTCCTACATCCGATGCAAGCTCAGCTTCGCCCTCGTCCATGCTGCTATTGCCAGTCTGCGAGCCATCGGCACGGAGTGCCCTCAGATACAAAAGACTTGGCCCGATTTGCGGTTGCCATCAGCAGCATCGGTTAAAGTGTTGCAAAAGAAGTAAGGATTGAAAAGCTCCCTCCGGAGGCTCCATACTAGACTGTTTTCACAGCCATTTTTGCTCTCTCGACTGTTCACAGCCATTTTTGCTCATCAAGGTGGTAGAGGGTGTCATATTACCCTCGGATCCAAAGAGAATGTTTATTTATTTCGCTCAGGGCCCTACGCTATCCTTTTTTTGCCTAGCTCATTATGCATGTTATTCGAACAGATGGATACTTTTTGCAATACAATGATGCAGCCGATCAGTTCGTTGTTGTATGGTTGGGAATTGAAGCCGTCATATGAGGTCAACGTAAAACAATATAGCCAATCCATGGGAAAAAAAACATTTCCATCAGTTCTAATAACATGAATGATGAGCTAGGCAAAAAGCCTAGCGTAGGGCCTTGAGCTTCCAAGCTCTCTCGTTTCAGGAAATATATACAGTAGTTCCTTACAACTAACTACTGTCGACTCCTGATATAACGAACACCATTGTACAGGAGAATTTGTTCTTTTTAGCCGAAGTTCGTTATAACAGAAGTGCACACACACCGTACAAACGTCATGTCATGACTCACTGGTTTGTGGCCCATGACTGTATGAGTGCACTTGGTTATCATGCGGCCCTACAACTTACTAGTACAAGAGTGTCAATGGGCGCTTTCGATTACACGCATTTCGGTCAATTCTAGAATTAGTTATTGTTCATGCACAGTTCGATTACACAAAAAGTGACAAATACCGTCGTTAGAATTGATTTTATCCAATTCCGTCAATTCTGAAGAGAGGGCGGAATTTTTCTAATTCTGGCGCCAGAATTGCACACTCGACGTGTTACCGGTCTGGTCATGACTCAAGCGCGCAAAGAGCCTCCCTGGCCGGCAAGTGCGCGATGCTGGGTCGACCTGCGCGCGAGGGTGTATACATGTACGCGATCTCATTTTACGATTCATCAATTTTGTTTGTGACATGACATGAATAAAATGCGTTGTGAATTCCAGTCGTTCGTTTACAAGGCCGGAATCCGCTCATTCTGATCTGGTCATTCCAGAATTTTAAAAAACAGTTCCAGAATTGTGTAAACGTGTAATCGAAAGCGCCCAATGGTTCGTTAAAACGAAAACAGTTTCTTATGCCTGGTTCACACTTGGCCGATTTTCCGGCCGATGCTCCCACACCGACTCCGACAAGAAATCGACCGACTGTGTCGGATGAGTCGGACTAGCTGTTCACACACAACGGTGGCCAATTTCGCTTGTACATGTACTATACATGTAGTTGTATGCTTGTTTGTTACACACGTACAGGTAGTACCCAGCCGCACTAGACCGCAGTAGACGCTAGACAGCGGAAATGAGATAGTTTTTTAAACGAGCTACACGGCCAAATGCGTGAAAAGGCTAGCGTCTACTACTAGTAGCGATCCAGTGCAGCCAGTTCACGGTCTGCACCGACGCTCTCCGCTGTCATGGTGAAAAGTAGGGCTCAAACGGTCACGGTTTTACCCCTAGCGGTTAACTGCTAAGCTAACGGTCGGTTTAACAGTTATAACCTATAAGCCACAGCAATCCTGCGGACTCTTTTTTAAAGGGGAGGTATACCCTAAAATCAAATTTTCACCAGTTGTAGTCTTCTGGGTGCTGAGTCGAATGGTCTTGGTTCGAGGAAGCTGCGACGCTCCCTTCCTACTTGAATCCCAATCGAACTCGCGCACTTCCACCGAAACTGGGTGACTGCGCCCTACTAGATGGGGATTTGTATGCAAAATGTCACTAAAAGCGCCATTTCGTTCTTATAAAAGCATGGATGACCGCGATTGGCCCATATGTTGTAGTCTTTTGGACGCTGAGTCGACTGGTTTTTGTCCGAAAAGGCTGCGCTGCAGCGTTCCTCCTTTATTCCCAATCGAACATGGTTGAAGAAGTGGTCACGTGCTCCTGGGTGCCCAAATCACCTGGTCACCACGCCAGCAGGCGACAACTTTCACACCAAGGTTCAACTCGAGTTCAACTCGAGTGACAGGAGTGCACCCAAAAAAGGTCAAACAGGCTAGTAAGTTGTACCCTGCAGGCACGGTGACCAGGTGACTGGTGTACGCAGGAGCACGTGACCGCTTGTTCAACCATGTTCGATTGGGAATAAAGGAGGAACGCTGCATCGCAGCCTTTTCGGACCAAAACCAGTCGACTCAGCGTCCAAAAGGCTACAACATATGGGCCAATCGCGGTCATCCGTGCTTTTATAAGAACGAAATGGCGCTTTTAGTGACATTTTGCATACAAATCCCCATCTAGTAGGGCGCAGTCACCCAGTTTCGGTGGAAGTACGCGAGTTCGATTGGGAATAAAGGAGGAAGGAAGCGTCTCAGCTTCCTCGAACCAAGACCATTCGACTCAGCACCCCGAAGACCACGACTGGTGAAAATTTGATTTCAGGGTATACTTCCCCTTTAACCGTTAATTCTTCCTAACCGCTCTGCGACCGGTTAATCGGACTAACCGTTTGAGCCCTTGTGAAAAGCCTACAATGATTGGCCCGATGCCCGCTCCATCACGTGCAAGCACTAAATTTCGGCCGGCTTTTCGGCTAAATATCGACCAGTCACCCATCACCTGGTCACAGCACCAGCACGGCAGCATGCAGGCGACAACTTTCACACCAAGGTTCAACTCGAGTTCAACTCGAGTGACAGGACTGCACCCAAAAAAGGTCAAACAGGCTAGTAAGTTGTACCCTGCAGGCACGGTGACCAGGTGACTGGTGTACGCAGGAGCACGTGACCTCTTGTTCAAGCATATTCGATTGGGAATAAGGCCGAACGCTGCATCGCAGCCTTTTCGGACCAAAACCAGTCGACTCAGCGTAGGCCTTGACGGATTATGCTAATATTTTCGTGAAATTATACTTTTCGCATTGCTGAAAAAATTGCAGAATTATGCTATTTTTGTGCTAAAAGTTATCAAATTATGCCACATTATGCTCACATATGCTGCTAATGTATATGATGGTATGGTATGGTATTGATTTATTT